GCATTGCCGGCAATATCCGAAGAGTCTCTCATACCGCAGAAAGACCGTTGTTTCTTCACCACTATGGAACTCCACCAGAGTTTCAAAGCATAGTGGCTTCAAGCCATCGATTATAACCTGAATCTTTCCTTCATTCAAGTTAACCGCTTCCACCTTACCGAGAGCTTTCCCAATGGTTCTGAATGTCAGATCTGCCCAAAAATGAAGCGGAACACCTATGACCCGGATCCAAAAAGTAATTGCTGATGGATAGTTGGGATCTACCACCGGTGTCCACCTGACCAAAGAGAGCATCCAATAGTCAAAATGGAAGGGTTCCATCTTCATGATTTCGACGATATCCTCTTCACGGTCGAAATCAAACTGAAACCGACCCAATCCCAGGTCTGCTCCTGCAACCCGTTCCTCCACCTTCCAAATACGAGGAAGCATAAACAGCAGTGTCTTCATATCTTGAGCCTGCGGGTTCATACATCGTCCGATTAAAGTCCGTGAATATCCCTCAATCAGATTGGCATTATCGAACTTGGGAACCGATATCTTCAACCTCTTAGAGACCTGTTCCACTTTCTTTCTGGAATCGTGATGCTTGATCAACTTTGATTGAGTCATCGTTGCTTTTTTTTGTGAATGAGTATAAAACTTGGAGAGAAACTTGAGAATGAAATAAGAAGCTGTTATGAAAACTCTCCCTTCGACCACCATTATATACCTGCTTGCCAATAAAGGCTCCTGATTTTCGAATCTCTGTGGATCCTGCTCTCCGTTGTGATATTTTCCTGAAGATTTCCTGATGACCTCAGATCCCTTCCACAGCGGATGAGTAAAAGCAAAGGCCTACTCTTCCCAAAAACCAGCGATTCGAATTCCAATCATAAAACACCAAAGGTTCTCTTGATTCACCTCTCTCCCATATATATCCACATATAGTGGCTCATCAAAATCATTGATTGAGATAAAATTCTGCTTTGTATATTGCCTATCGACTCCATAATCTCGGAGATCTAGCAGGATTCGCCATTCCAACTTTCGCACCCCTGAATAATGAGAAGGGCCGAGTCCGATCTTATTCACCAATACTGGGTAATTTCCCCAGATCTTCACTGTCAGCCGTATCAGATGCCAAATCACCCATTGAATCCACCAAATAACCGCCTTACTAACCGAATAGATCCTCCTACAGATTTCTTGTCGATCCCGAATCATCCTTACAAATTGGTAGATCCCATCGAGATCGATGGTTTTTGTTTTCGAGAGACTATTATATATATATATATATAGTTATTTGTGTTGTAATAAAAAATTTAACAAGTTTTTTTTTTCATATAACGGGATAGATCCTAAAATCCTAATTAGAATTCTGCAATAACATTGAAACTTGGAAAAGTCGATTTCTTTTAGGCTTTTAGCTACTAGAAGTAGAATTTATCAATCAAACTTTGCAATTCTTTTATGGTAATTTGAGATTAATAAATTTGTGTAGAAAAATTAATTACGAAATTAAATATGTTTTTTTTTAATAAAATGATTATATATGAGAAAAAGAAATACAGTTTGTGGTGATGCTCAATCCAATCTACTTTGGGTTTATCAATGTACTTCTGAAATAGGATATGAATCTTTACGTGTACTACACAATCTCGATAATGTTTGAACTGCGCGAAGCCGTGAAAGGACTTGTCGAGATTAAGGATAGAGTTTCGCTTACTCTGAGTCTGACTCCACGTATACACTTTAAATAGGACAAAACCATAACTTTATTATACATTAAAATTAGTATTAGTTTATAACTATCCGATCGATTATAATAACAAGAAAGATTGAATATATTTTGAGCTGTGGCTACTTTAAATATGGTCATAGAAAATATACTAAAAACTGAATCTCTTTGATAATAATAATTTATTTTATCTGAAAACTTTAAAAATCAAATTATTTGATGTTCAAAACTCCTCAATTTTCTGTTTCGAAACTCATGGAATGGAATGGAAATGGGAATAGAGTGAAGTTTTTTGACATTCTTGCCTATGTTTTCTGTTTTACTGGAACTTTTTGACATTCTATGCGCAGAAAGTTGTGAGTTTTTGAGCTAAGACTTCTTCCAAGATTAATCTTTTATAAGTTTCCAACTTTCTCGTAATTACTTCAAACACTTTGACTAGAAAAATAGTATTTAATTTTTCTTCAAAACATATATTTAGTTTTGAGACGCGAATGATTAAACACAAAAAAGACAGTGTAAAATAAATAGATCGATCATATTATATAAGGTTAGCACAACCGAATAAACGGAATAAAATATAGGAAACAAAAGTTTAATCATAACCTCTAAATATGATATGCATAGTTATTACTAATTAAAAAAAACATTTGGATTTCTTGTTTTAACAATTGGCCGATAAACTCTACTGTACAAATTTATTCTGAAATTTTTTATATTTATTTCTAGAAAAGAATAAAAAAAACAACTGAACCGCTAATTTATAAAAATTGTCACACTATATGGGTTTTAGAGGTTGTATGTCTCTTACATCGATGTTCTTTCATGAGCTAAAGGCCCAACATCATTATAGCCCATGACAACATATTTTGGAGGAGAGTTGTTAGGGAGTTGTAAATCCATTTTAGCATTAAAAATAAAGATTAAAGCTAATAAAACACAATAACCGTTACTTGATGAAGAGTTTTAAGGATTCATTATCAACTCCATACGTGTCATTATTTTGTTGGTGGAAACAATCAGATTTTGTTTTTTTGTTTTTCACACACCATTTTCTCAAACACCGACCATTTTCTCTCAAATGAGAACGATAAAAATTTTGCTCTCTCTTTTATGAAAAAATCGAAACCTAAACTTCATCTCAAAATCTCACCCGATTTATCTCTCTGATGAAATTGATATCCTTTTTTGACTTGCATGTGAATTCAAATGGATTGAGGGCTGGAAAGTCTCTCTCACCGAATCGATTGTGACCGGAATCTCTCTCACCAACACTCAGATAAGTTTCTCGACTCTCTTCAAATTTTGTAGATCAATCGGTTAATTATGCTTGCTGAATCGATTTACTTGTGGAACGCCTTCGAATTTGTTGCTGATTAGTTAGGGTTGATGAGTGAATCGATGAGGTGAAGTGGTGAACTCTCTAAAAATTAAGCTGATGCATGATTAATTCCTTTTGATGAATCGATTAGTGGTAGCGATGTGAAGGTTGGAATTGTTTTCCGATCCCACTTTGTTTAGGCGCTTGTAAGTTTGATTTCCTGAGTAAACGTAAACCTGTTTTTTCTTCTTATCAGATGGCTTTGGTTCTGGTGACATATAAAATCCATTACCCGAGAGAGTTCAGAGTTGTGTCGATTTCGCGATTGAGGAGAGGAACGATTACTTCCGTGAAGATACAATCTACCCTGATCATATATTCCGACGTCGTTTTAGAATGAACAAATCCTTGTTCATGTATATTATTGATCGTCTCTCCAATGAAGTTCCTTTTTTTAAACAAAAAAGAGATGCCACCGGAAGACTTGGTCTATCTGCACTCCAGAAGTCTACAGCAGCAATTCGTATGATGGCATACGGCTGTGCAGCTGATGCAGTTGACGAATACCTCAGGCTAGGTGAGAGTACTGCAATCTCATGTTTGGAAAAATTTGTGGAAGGAATAATATATTTATTCGGAGATGAATACCTAAGAAGACCAACACCAGACGATCTTCAACGACTGCTTAATATGGGAGAGGATCGTGGATTTCCCGGGATGATAGGAAGCATCGATTGCATGCATTGGGAGTGGAAAAATTGTCCGACCGCTTGGAAAGGGCAAGACACACGGGGTTCTGGAAAACCAACAATCGTTTTAGAGGCTGTAGCTTCATATGATCTATGGATATGACACGCGTTTTTTGGCCCTCCAGGTATTCTAAATGATATCAATGTTCTAGAACGTTCACCAGTTTTTGATGATGTCTTACAAGGTAAAGCTCCTAAAGTGAAGTACTTTGTTAACGGACATCAGTATAACTTGGCGTATTATTTCACAGATGGAATTTACCCTAAATGGGCTACATTTGTCCAATCTATTCCACTTCCACAAGGTGAAAAAGCTACATTATTTGCTAAAACACAAGAATCTGTCCGTAAAGATGTTGAACGTGCTTTTGGAGTCTTGCAAGCTCGTTTTGCTATTGTCAAAAATCCAGCTCTGATTTGGGATAAGGTAAAAATAGGAAAAATTATGCGAGCATGTATAATACTTCACAACATGATAGTTGAAGACGAACGAGATGGATACACACAATATCGTGTTGAAGAATTCACACAAGTAGAGGCAAACAGAACTTCTCAAGTGGATTTAGCGTATGAGACTGATTGAGCTTCAAATATGACAAATTTGATGGGCATAAGAAATAACGTTCGTGATCAAAATACGCATTACCGATTGACAAATGATTTAGTTGAACATATATGGAACAAATTTGGTTGAAATTATAATTTTAACTAAAATTTTTCCGATTTATGTTTTGTCTTTGTGTTTTTTTTTTCTTTTTTATGTTAAACATTGTAATTCTATTTTTATTAATGTATTTCTGTAATGTATGTTTGTAATTTATGTATGTAATGTATGTTTGTAATTTAAATCAATGAAATAATTTTTAATTATAACATTTTAACATTTTAGATTATTACAATTTTTTTTTAACAACCCCTAAATGAAAAACCTCCCATTAAACCCTTAAAAACATAAAACCTCATATATATAGGTGTATGTATCTCAAAAAAATAATTAAAAAATAATCAAGAGCTCCAATGGGTCTCAACCATTGGAGATGCTCTAAGAAACCACGTTTTATGGTGGTTTTTTTTGGGGATTAATTATTTTTGTATCAAATTACATGAAGAACGTGAATTACGTAAAACCAGAGGATCAACGATTGTAATTGTGATTAAACAAATTTCCTAATAACAAAAAAAAAAAAAGTAAAAGAAATTAAGGAACACAGAGAATCACACGAAGGACGAACAAAAAACAAAGAAAAAATGGCGTATCGGAGAAGACAAGGGATCACGAGAGCTTCTACATTCAAGGAAGATATCTATAATCAACCACCTGATCACGATCACGGTGATCTCAAAGGTCACTCCAATGGCGGATCCTTCAGATCTTCTCAATCTTTCTCTTCTCATTCCTCCCTTGCCGCTCAAGCAATCCGCGCCTCCTCTGCTTACAACGGCGAATCCAATTCTCAGGTCTTTCTCTCTCTCTCTCTCTCTCTCTCTCTCTCTCTCTCTCTCTCTCTCCATGAAATTACTCTTCCGCCGACGAACAACAAACCTAAAATCGTCGATCTCAGGTCCGAGGATTCACCGCTTACGAGGACGCGACGAAGAACGAGAGCCGCGGATTTTGGGGAATCCTAGCACAGAAAGCGAAATCAATCCTCGAAGATGAAGAAGAAGAAGAACAACAACAACAACAAAACGTCGTCGTTTCCGAATCCTCGAATAATAACCCAACGATACGCAAAAGCATAGACAAAATCACGACGTCGCTGAATCAGATCGGAGACAGTTTCGAGAAAGCTTTCGAAGAAGGCCGTACGATCGTAGCTTCTCAGATCAGACGAAAAGGATCCGATCTAATCGATTCATCGGAGAACAACAACAATTACAACAATTACAATTCTGGATCCAACAGTCCATGGCAGCCATTAACGCAACCAAACCCACACGAATCGCAGCTCAAAGCTTCCCGTGACGTAGCCATGGCTACAGCAGCCAAAGCCAAGCTCCTCCTCCGCGAATTGAAAACGGTTAAAGCCGATTTAGCGTTCGCCAAAGAGCGGTGCTCGCAATTGGAAGAAGAAAACAAACGGTTAAGAGATAACCGGGAAAAAGGAAACAACAATCCAGCCGATGATGACTTGATCAGGCTTCAGCTAGAGACATTGCTTGCGGAGAAAGCGAGATTAGCACACGAAAACTCGATTTACGCGAGAGAAAACAGATTCCTGAGAGAAATCGTCGAGTATCATCAGCTAACGATGCAAGATGTTGTTTATATCGATGAAGGTATCGAAGAAGTCGCTGAGGTGAATCCATCGATCACGAGAACGCTCTCGATGGCTTCGTATTCGGCTTCTGAATTGCCTTCTTCGATCTCGCCTTCTCCTTCGTCACCTGCTTCGCCTTCTCGGCTCTCTGTTTCGACTGATATTTATCCGGTTTTGGTTCAGCAGAGCTCGGCTAACGATGTGGTTACTGCTGAGACTCCTAAACCGGTTCGACCACCTTCTTTGGGATTCACAGATGATGGTAAGAGACCATCGTCGTAGCTCTCTGTTTAGGAATCAATGACTTAAATTTTCACTACCATTTTGATTTGTGTCTCTTTCGAGATTTTTTTTTTTTGTTGGTTGTTAGTAGAATTTACGTTCTTTAATTACTTGATTTTCATTTTTTTTTGGCGTGATGTCTCTTGTAATAGTTGCTTGTTGATTTCGTGGAAACAATTTTGCCCTCTGCATTTACTTTTCGTATCAACGTACAAGTAACCACGTATTTACAAGTTAATGAGACATCCGATAAGTTTGAATTATGATACATATTTTTTATTCCGACTGCATTTAATTTTTAACTTAAAAAGAAACAGATAATTTTTAATTCAAATTAGTCAAGTAGGAGAATTAATTTGGGCTGATGGATCCCGATTAGCACATAGTCATATCACTGCGGACAAGATCCCAAAACCTTGTATTAGTTTTGATTTAAAACTTGTTACTAGGGTACTAATTTTGATTTATGTATAAAGTCGATTTTTAACGAATATTTTTTTGTTTTGTTTTGTTTTTTGTTTGATTGCTGGAGTATCTTATATACCAAAACTCAGACTAATCTCTAGAAACCCTTAGAAATTTGGGGTTTCTTGCAATCAAAGGCATCATTGGGTGATCAAGGTGGATGAAATCACAATGTGAAATGCTCGAATTTTGCCAAAGAATGGCATTCAGATCAAACTCTTTCAATCACTAGACCACTATCATTTGCGATATTAGACTTTGTTTTTGGTTTTGATTCTAATAGAAGAAAAAACAAATGAATATTATTATTTATTAAAAAAGGACATACAATTTTTTATTTATTAATATAGAATAGGGCTTGCGATGGATATGGAATGGGCCGGCAAACGAATAAATGTATAATCATAGTGGCAGATAACACAATTTTCTGGTGGACATTTAGAAAAATCACAATCAATGTCTATAACATTCACCGGCAATAGTAGAATCCTCAACACATATACACCTATGGTTTTTACATTCTGCATGTGAAACTCTGCACATCCAAAGAATGCAATCTTCAGTTTTGTCACATGGTCGTACACCTTTGCTCTTCATTATCATACCTGTATGGATGTACATGTAAATCATGATTACAAATTCAAATTAAACCAAATCAAATAGAACTAAACCAAAATGTTGTCTCATTTTAGTTTATAAGAATACATATAACTACGACTTCCGACTTAATATATCCTTATATATAATAAGAAATTTAACATCCAAAATATGTGTTTTCAACCGACCAAAAGAAATGACAAAAATTTGGAAGACTTACATGAAAAAATTACGAGGATAACAACGAAAATGGTTGTTACTTTTTTTTCATCTTATTTTTCTTCTTCAGTTTTTGTTTCCTTTTTTGGATGATCGCAAGTTTGATTATTTAGGGTTTTTTTTTATCTCCTTTGTATATGAGATAATGATCAATTCATACCTCAACTCTTTCAAATGGTATCAATTGGTACCTAAATAATTTTGATGTGCTAATTAATATCCAAATTTTTGAAAATTTTAATTTTCATACCTTAATTTATATTATTTTGGCCAAAACCATAGTTGTTCGGGTATTAATTAGCACACCAAATTTGTTCAGATACTAATTAAAAGAGTTGATGTACGAATTGACCGTTTTTCCCCTTTTTACACGTTGTATGAATGGAAATAACTTTATTTTTATTCTACATTTGTAAAGTAATTATAAAAACGGATATTGGTCAAATCAATAAATTTGGTATCTTAATTAACTAGAACAAGTGGTAGTTTAATTATTGATCAAATCAATATATTTGGTAATTTACTTAACGAGAAAAATGGGTGGTTTAACTATTAATATTTTAATGCTCTATATTACATTTTTTTGGTATTAGCATATTTCGCGTGATGTAGCATCTGTCCAAGCTTTGGCTACTGTCTGCTTCATTTCTTCATCTCCTCCATCATACATGTTCTGCAGTTTATTTTTCTCTCCAAAATAAAGAAACCAAAAGCAACCGATGAGAGAATATTTACAAAACATGTTTCTCAGCCTCACGAAATTAGGATGGATGCTCACCTTCATCAAGTCCATAAGCCATTAGGTCTTTCTCTTTCTCAAAACTAGACACAAGAAGAGTCGTCGATGAGACCACAAACCAATTCTAGTTTTATGTATATTAAGAAAAAAATCTGTAAATCCTGTAACATTTAAAATAGTAGATCAAAAAGATGCAAGTGGATTTGGAAAATGGAGTAGATGATGTAGATCATGAGGATATGGTTCATGTAAGCTTGACAACAAAGTGCATGATAAGTTTGTCAATGAGAATGCTAGAGAAGTAGACATCATCTTAAAGAACTTCCCACATATGTTTCTCATCTAGAAAATTGGGAAATTATTGATATGAGATTATGAGATTTATTCGTTGAAAATGGTATAAGACATGATTATTAACTGATTTTCGAAACTTTGAATTTTTTTTTTGTTTTGCGATGTTTTTTGGTTTTGATTCTAATCGACAAAAAATAATTGATATTATTTATTAATTTTTAATATGGAGTAGGGTTTCCAATGGATATTGATTGACCCGAGAAACAAGCACAAACATGAAAGTCACAGATAACACGACATTCTGGTGAACACCCAAAAGGATTACAATCAGTGACTTTATAACATGGAGCGCCAATAGGAGCACCAGAACCACATGTACACTTGTGATTTTTACATATGACATGTGAATATTCTCTGCAGCCTCGCGGATCGCAATCCTCATCCTTGTTACATCGAAATTGACCTGCACTCTTCACTATCATATCTGTATAGATGTGCATATAAACCATAATTAAATTCAAGTTAAATCAAATCAAATTGAAGTAAATCAAATGTTGTCCTATTTAGTTTATGAGAATATAATAAACCTAATATATAGTTTCATAATTAAATATTTTCGTATATTTTTCAATTAATGGGTGAAAATTTGAAAAAAAAGTAACAATCATTTTTGTCATTCTTCTCATAATTTCTTAAAATCATAACCTTGTAAAGATATATTAGATTGCTATGATTTTACTAAATTGGTGAATTGTTTTATGATTTTTGCCAATTTTACCGAGTTGCTTTATTGGTTTTAGTGTTAAGATGTATATCAAATAATTAAAAAAACCACCTTGGATCAATAGGATATTGTATTTGAAAGAAAATTTAGATTAAAGAAACGCACATTATACATATGTTTATGTATAATTCCTTATCACCCAAAGGATGTGTTTTCAATCGACCCAAAAAATAACAAAATTTTGGAAGACTTACATGAAGAAATTAGGAGAATAACGGCAAAAATGATTGTTACTTTTTTCATTTTGCTTTGTCTTCTTTAATTTTCTTTTTCTTTTGTTTGGGATGATTGCAAAGCTTGTTTATATAACTTTTTTTCGGTCTTCTTTGTATTCGTATGTAAAAGGATATAACTTTAATCTGATTTTTTTTCCTATTTTACATTTGGATTTTGGATATTGGTCAAATCAATATATTTGGTAACTTACTTAACGGGAAAAGTAGGTAGTTTAATTAAAGATTCTTAATTCTCTTGAGTATATACTTAGACGCAATGAGAGTCCTAAACCGGTTCGACCACCTTCTTTGGGATACACGGATGATGGTAAGAGACCATCGTCGTAGGCTCGTAGCTCTCTGTTTTAGGAATCAAAAGACTTAAATTTCACTACCATTTTGATTTTTGTCTCTTTCTGACATTTTTTTGTTGGTTGTTAGTAGAATTTGTGTTCTTTAATTACTTATTTTCATTTTTTTTGGCGTGATCTCTTGTAATAGTTGTTTGTTGATTTCGTGGAAACAATTTTACCCTCTACATTTACTTTTCCTATCAACTTACAAGTTACAAGTAACCACGTCTTTACATGAGACCAGTGTTTTTAACCCGGATTGGACCGACAGTGTAACAACCAGGTCATTGAGTAAGCTCGGACAAGCGACCGCGGTCAAGTGCTTAGTCGGGAACGGACCAAGACAGTTAGATTCTGCCGAGAAAAGCAACTTTGGTCGCGTAAGAAAGAATTTGGCCGAGGGAAATAAAGATTCTGCCGAGAGAAATTAGATTTTCACCGAGGAATCAGGATTCTGGCCGAGGAAGCATGAGCAAATGCGGAAAACTGATGGAGGTTATGTGCGGATAAGAATAGATGTGGCTGATTTCTGTCCACACATTTGGCGCAGGATTAAGAGTGATTAGTGTTAGGCCTAGTGACTAAGGTTTAAGAAATCCTGACAAGTGTTTAGCATGTGGCAAACATGCATAACCTCCCTGAACCTATAAATACGCCTCCCTTAAGCTCAAGAAAATAATCTCAAAATCTGAGAGTTCTTGAGAGAGAAAGTAGTGAGAAAAAGGAGAAAGTTTGGGTATTTGGCGATAGGATTCTGCTTACGGGAAGTGGACGCGCGGTACTAGTTTAGCGAACGGTCGGTAAGCCGTAGAGTAAACCCTTTTCAATCTTGTCCTAGGCTAGATATTCATTAGATCTATATCGTTTTAGATCTAGAGGAATACCGGAGTTAGGAACAAGATGGGTTAAGATCGGTGCTGGATCTGCGTTAAGGGTGAGTTCCGGTTTTGTGTATGTTATTACGCTAACATGCAAGTTTGGCCTGAAGAATAACCAGGGCGGTGTTATTCTGGTCTGGTGGTGTGCTCGGAGAAAGGTCGGACATATTATTTTCTATGGTTTTAGGGAAAACCGGATAGAAATGATACTTGGTAAATTAAATGATGAATGCAAGTAAAAGACCTCTTGCATGTCATGTTTAATTGTTTGTGTGTTATTTGGTGATGCATCTAGGAAGTATAAATCAAGGTAGGATTTATACGTTCTTAGAGTAGATGCAGTCGGCACGTCCACGTACCTTATCTTTGTGGAGAAGGCCACGGAGGTAGGAAGAATCAGAGGGTCGAAGGGTAGCTCCCTTGGCCGAGTGCTGCCAGTAAGGCGGTCCGATGCTATGTGACGGTATGTCAATAGATCGGTGTAAGGTCACCAAGATGATCCTGTGTGGTGATTTGCGGGATCATTGCAACTAGGGGAGTGGCCGATGCATTTAGAGGCCTCGCATTAGGAAACGAGATTGTTTGACATATAAGGACTTATGTCTTAGATTGCTTCCGCTTGTGCATACGATGATGCATTATGATTGATTGTGTGATTGTTTGTGTGGGGATTGGGAACTAATGTATGTTTAGTACCCCCGGAGCTCACTGAGTATTGCTAGAATACTCATGACTCATTTGTTTTGCAGGTGACCAGTAGTCGGGAATAGCTCGTGAAAGGCGGAACGGTAGGAGGCCGGAGTAGTTTTGGCTTGGCTTTTGCAAAATAAGGTTTCACGTATGTACATAGTATCTTTTGGGCACTAGGCCATGGCCGTTCGCTATAATCGTTTTGTAAGACAATATTTTCAAGTTTAATAATATAAAGTATGTTTTAAAAATAAAACTCGGCTTGTGTTAGTGGTATAAGCTAGTCCAAGCTGAAACAACTCAAGACTGGGATACGGGTTGAAAAGCCTTAGGTCTTGGTCGAGAGGCGTGATTTTAGAAGCGGTTTAACTTAAGTAGTATGGGCTGCTTTTGTCAAACTGTCTCTATTATCATCTTGTGGCACTCTGGGTTCGTCCTAATCTTAGTACGAATCGGGGGTGTTACAGACAGTCTGACAAAATTAAACCATAAACCGAATATATAACCAGGTTGGATTAATACCAAAATTCACAGTGTTAAATCGGTTAAAAATTAAAACAAACCGCCAAAAAACCAGAAATCAACCAGGCCGACAAACCATATTAAACCGGATTTAATTAAAAAAGTTTAATTAAATCATTTTTTTCTTTTCAGTTTTTTACTTCTTTTACTTTTTATTCAGACTATTGAAGTAATTTTTTTCCAATTATTGCTAATTTATATTCCATTTTATTTTGGTGTTATTTTAAATTTAAATTACAAAATTTTTCTCGAATAATATAATTATTAAAGAATTTTATTTAAAATTTAATTAATTAGAGATTGTAAAATATTATCAAACCCAATTAAATTCACTCGAATTATATGAATCTCTGACCTAAGAATTTTTTCGGTTTGGTTACCGGTTCAATTTTAAAAACATTATTATATAAGATATCCGATAAATTTGAAATATGATACATGTTTAATTTTTTTTCTACTGCATAAAATTTTTTAATTTAAAAAGAAACAGGTAATGATGAGTAAGTGCGTCAAATCAGTCAACTAGGAGTTTGGGCTGATGGATCCTGATTAGAACATATCACTAAGATTTTAATGAGTGATCATTAAAGGAATAATATGAATAAATATAAAAAGAATGAAAATGAATAAAAGAATAAAATTATTTTTTATTGTTTTTAATGAAATTTAGTAAGGAATATTTTTATTCTATAATTTTTTAAAAATGAAGGAATGACAAGGAATAATATGTAAACAATATTCTTTATATATGATGTATTTTTTGAGGAATAAGAGGAATAGTGTATGTAAAAATAAATTCCATATAAATGTTGTATATTTAAATGTTGTATATTTAAGGAATGAAGCGAAAATTCATTATTTTTTTCATATTCCTTGGTCACCAATTACAATCCAAAGAAAGACAAAAAAAAAAAACATATCACAAAGGATAAGATCCAAGAGCTTGTCTCTGTTTTGATTTTAAAACTTGTTACTAGATTACTTAATTTTGATTTTGAAAAGTCGATTTTTAACAAATAGTTTTTTGTTTTTTGTTTTTTTTTACTGCCGAGTATTTTATATACCAAAAACTCAAACTAATCTCCATAAACCTTTAAAAGTTTGGAGTTTCTTGCTATCAAAGGCATCATCGGGTGATCAAGGTGGATGAACTCACAATGTGAAATGCTCGACTTTTGCGAAAAGAATGGCATTCAGATCAAACTCTTCAATCATTAGACCACTATCATTTGAGATATTATATTTTTTTTTTGGTTTTTGATTCTAATAGACAAAAAATACAAAAAATATTATTAATTATTCAAAAAAGAACATAAAACGTTTTTTTTTTTTAATATGGAGTATTGCTTCCGATTCCGATGGATATGGATTGGGCCGGCAAACATTTACATGCATGATCATGGTTGCATATAATACGACTTTCTGGTGGACATTTAGAAAGATTACAATCAATGTGTCTATGACATTCACCGCCAATAGGATAATTTTCCACACATATACACCTATGGTTTTTACATTCTCTATGTGAAAGTCTGCACATATACACATATGGTTTTTAAATTCTTTATTTAATGCATAATTACATTTATTACTATTTTTCAACTTTAAAGCAGTGAAATTTAATATTAATCTCATAAATTTAGAATGTGAGATAATTAATATATATATATATATTAAATTTTAATTTATATAAACTGCATTAATATATATATATATATGTTATTGAAAACGATAAATTATTACAAGCTGAAAAAAGAGTTAGAGAAAACGACAATGATTAAAAAAAATCAATGATGAAAAATAAAAAAAAATAAGAAAAAAAGGAACCATCAAAATATAAATAATGATGCATATAAAAATGAAGTAAAGGAAAAAGAATAAATATACCAGATAAATAAACTAAGAGACGAAACAAAATCAGAAAAAAAATTAAAAAAAGTGAAAGAAAAAAAAGAAATATTTTTTTTTGGGTCAACAATTCCATTTATTAAGCTAAAACACGATTACATCAAACTTAAGGAGAAAAGAAAATCATTAAAGGTTTTCTTAGCGGGGGCGTCGACTGAAACATTGCTCGATTGCGAAATAAAATTAAGCGAGATATAAGGGATCATTGGCATCAGGGATCTGATGTCTGAAAGGATTCCGTAGAGTTCCTTGGAGTGGCCTAAGGAGATTACTCGGATCAGATCCTGAGCATCAGAGTTGACGACTAAGTTGGAGATTCGTCGATTGATCGCTAGAGCTTTAGCCTGGATGGGGGATCATACCATAGTTTCTATAGCGCTGTTTCAGAAGTTTTCTCTATTGGAGCTGTCAGTGAAGATCCAGCCTAATCCTGCTGTCTTTGATTCGCTCTTACATAGATGGTTGATGAGCTTGAGCGTCTGAGTCCCCGTTGCGAGGTAAGAGATGGTTGAGTGTTTGCATGTTCTTCCCTTCCCAGGGATTGGGCTTCCTGCCATTCTCTGGCATTTTGGACTGCTTTGTTAATGGTTTACTTTGCTGTGAAGATGCGGTTCTCGAATATTTTGAGGTTGCGGGAAGACCAGATGGCCCAATAGATCCACGGGAACAGGGGTCCGTGTCCAAACCCCGTTTGTGGTAGAGCAAGAAGGTGCTTTGATAGGTTCAGGCCAGTTGAGATTTGTGATGGTTCGAGAGTTGACTGTGATCAAGAAAGGAGCTGATGTCCAGACTTGTTGGGCATACTCACAGTAGAATAACAAGTGTTCTGTTGTTTCCAAATCGCCACAGCGGGTGCAACAGGCGTTTTCCATCATTCCTCTAATTAGAAGGTTTTCTCCCACAAGTAGGGTTCCTTGTGCTGCTTTCCAAATGAATAGTTTGAGTTTTGGTGATAATTTACTCTCCCATATGTCTGATTTCCAGTTAGGCGAGGGGTTTTCGAGGGCAGGCTGTGCGGCCGGTTCATCCAGTGTCGATGTGACAGAGTGGTATCCCGACTTTGCCAAATGAAGGAGTCAGACGCATCGCTGGTGCTAGGTCGGAGGCATAAAATTTCCTCTTTCAATTTAGGTAAGATCTCATCAATTTTGCTTATGCACCATGGCTTCCCATCTTGCGTTAGAAGGGTCGAGACTTTTAGGTCTTTTGTTGATGCTGTTGGAGGGCCCATTGGTCGTAGAGGTGAGGATAGAGAAAGCCATGGATCTTACCAGAGGGAGGTAGATTTTCCATTCCCTAATGCGATGCCCAAGTGATTTTTTAGTAGGTCTATACCGATCAGGATACTTCGCCATCCATGAGAGGCTGATGCGGGAGTAGAGGCCTCCAAGAAGGTCTTATCAATGCAGTATTTCCCACATAGAACTCGGGCTAGCAAACAAGACGGAGATGTCAAGATTATCCTGCCAAGTTTGGCCAGCAGAGCATCATTGAAATGCTGGATTTCTCTGAAACCCAATCCACCTTCCTTCTTGGACTTTGCGAGTTTTGTCCAGGATAGGTAACAGATTTTCTTTTTACCCGAAGTTGAATCCCACCATAACCTAGTGATGGCTGATTGGATTTTTTTACATAAGCTGGCTGGTAACTTGAATCACATCATTGAATATGTAGGTATTGCCGCTAGGACTGATTTGATCAAGGTGAGCTTTTCAGCTGTTGAGAGGAAATAGGAGGACCAGCTTACCGCCTTCTGCCTGATTCGATCTACTATCTGCGCAAAGAGATCTTTCTTTTTCCTACCAAAACTCTCAGGTAGTCCTAGGTATTTCCCTGTTCATATCTCCTTTGTTATACTAAGTGTTCTCTTTACTCTCTCTTTTATGTTTTGAGGGGTTTTCCCGGAGAAAGTTATAGATGACTTTGCTTCGTTGATGCATTGGTCTGATGCCTCTTCGTACTGTCGAAGGATTTGGATTAATGTTTCGCAGCATCTGGTATTTGTTTTACAGAAAATCATTGTATCATCTGCGAACAAGAGATGGTTAACCAAAGGGCTTCCGTGGGAAACTCAGATACCATGAAGATGTCCACTCGCTTGAGCTCGTCTGCATAGACCAGAGAATACTTCTCCACAGAGGATGAAAATGAAAGGTAAAAAGAGGTCACCTTGGAGTATTCCAGGTTGAGGCAAAACAAAGCCCTGAACAGCTATGTTTAGCAAGGAGTAAGAGACAGTAGTTATGCATTGGAGGATCCAGCTGATCCATTTGGCATGAAAACACATTCTCTCCATGACTGAGGTAATGAAATCCGATTCTAGCCTAACTTAGGCTTTACTCATGTCAGTTTTGACTACCATGGAATAATGTTTTATTGCTTCTGATTCTTTTAAACAGTGTAGGATTCATGTGTGATGAGTACGTTGTCGGAGATGGCATGACCTAGTACGAAGGCGGATTGATTGTCCGAGATGATAGAAGAGAGGACTGGTTGAAGGCGCCTGGTAAGAATCTTTGATATAACCTTGTAATAAACATTACACAGGGCAATGAGTCTATAATCTGCAACTGTTTTTGGATCTAGGATCTTGGGTATGAGCCTTACGTGTGTTTTGTTCAGGTTTGTGGGAGTATGCCAGAGGAGAATATTCGTTGCACTTCCTCGACGATAAAGGGTCCAACCACTGACCAGTTAGTCTGGAAAAAGCTGGCCGAGGATCTATCAGGCCCTAGAGCTTTATCAGGGTGAATGGAAAACACAACAGTTCTGATTTTTTCCTTCGTTGGGTTCGCTATGAGTAAGTGGTTTGTCTCCTCTGATATGCATGGTTGAATAGCCTTTGCGATCACCTCTGAGTATCTCTTGTTTCTGGTTATAAATTGGTCTTGGAAGTAGCTGCTGATCACTAGGACTATTTCAGGTTCTTCATACACCGTTTTCCCATCTTTATCTTCAGTTACTGAGAACTTATTTTGAGCTCTTGGGGATTTTGTGGTTGCATGAAAAAACCCAGTGTTTTTATCTCTCAGAGTTAGTCATACGTTTCGGCTACGTTGTTTCCAGTATTTTTCTTCAGCATGGTAAGCTTTCCTCAACACATTGTTGGCTTCCAAGATTGTGGCTTCATCCGCTGTAGTAGATGCCATGGCAGTTTCCTGATGTTCTTTTGCTTCAATAATAGTCTTTTGACTATTTTGGTGATTTTATTTGTTCCATTTTGATATCGCTCTTTAACAATGTGATATTTTCTGTTCCACAATTGCATAAGGTCTTTCCCACCATGCTTCTTTGATCAGGTTGCTAATCTCTGGATTGTTTCTCATGCGGCGGTCATATCGGAACAGGTTTCGTTTTTTTTTTTGATGGAGGATCAAAAAAAGTTACTAGAGGCCTGTGATCCGACCCCTCGAAGTCGAGATAGCTGCAGTTGCGTGAGGGAAAGATCTCAGCCCAGCTGCTATTAGCCATAGTTCTGTATAGCCGGAAATGTACTAGGTGAGTATTACTTACGCCCCTCCATGAAAAAGGTTGCCTGAGTGTTTTAAGTCGAAGAGGTCACATTGGGAGAGAAAAGCTCGGAAATCACCAAAGGATGATTCAGCTGTTGTCGGGCCTCCAGACTTTTCTGAGTTGTCTATTATGTCGTTGAAATCTCTTGTCACGAGCCAAGGGCTATCTCTAGCTATATATTTTTTGGTGAGTCTCATCCATAAATCTTTCCTTTTTGACTGGTCTGGTTTCCCATAGAAGAAAGTTGTGATGCAGGTTTTTCCTTTGTAGATGATGGAAGTATCGATGTAATCCTTACATGAAAAGAGGATAGATATGTCGATGTGTTGGTTCCAGTAGAGTGCCAGACCTCCTCCTCCTAGGCTTGGGGGGAGGGACAAAGGTGTGTGCGTAGTGTTCAATAAAATCCAGTTTTTAACTAATGAACTCGTCACTATTCTTTGTCTCCATTAGGAAAATTACATTGGGAGAGAGAGTACGAAGGAGTTCCCTTATACAACGAACTGTTACGGGATTTCCCAAACCTGCATCCCCTTGTGGGTTTGAGGTCTCGGGATTTGCTTTGTTTGGTGGTAAGGTCCTCAATTGTCCACCCTGCATTCCTTGGCGTGAGGTTTGTGTCCCAGAGTTCCCTTCTCAAATTGCTCTCATCGTTTGACTGGTGGAGGTGGGGTTAGATCCTTGGTGTGGGATGAGCGGTCGTTGGGGGTTTTTTTCTTGTTGTTGTAATCCTGCTATGAGTGTAATTCTTTGGTTTGGGTGATTGCTGTATCATGTTGGCTTTATGCATCTTGGAGCTTACACCAATGGCTACTTGTGGACTGTTCATTGTTTTCTTTGTTAGAGGGGGTCTGCCTCTTTTTTTTTTTATTGGTTCATCTTCAGTGTTTGTCTGGTTTGGTGAAGTGTCGTGGTGAGGCTCCTCTGGGGTGACTCGGATTGTTGAAGTTTCCCCGTGGAAAAAGCCATTTCGAGTATTTGGGATAGCTCTGTTTGCAGCCGCATTGAAGATTTCGGTTGCTGTAGTGACCATGAGATCATATTCTTCGCCCTGGTGAACTCGCTGTTGACGAGCTGCACTCTCTCTTGGGTCAGAGCAGTTTATGTATTGCAAAGTTACTTCTTGGAGATCCTCGAGAATTTCCTCTATTTATTGGATTGGTTGTGGAGCAGGGAAGTCGTTGATTGCAAGATTCCTTTCCAGAGGGGGTCTATCCGACTTATGGCTCTCAGAATCTCCTTGGATGCTATTCCCGGTTCGTCGTTCTTTTTCTCTCCAAATTTATTGTTGTTGATTCTGGTGTGTGATTCTCTGATAATTTGCTGTTGCAAAATCCTATGGGGTGTATCTTTCTCCTGGTTGTAAGTTTTGCCGGTTCCTTAAGTGAGAGTCAGCTGTGTTTTCAAGTTCCGGAGTGTGCAGTTAATCCTGATGGTCGTGAGAGGTTTGGTGCTCAGAATCGTAAGAGGTTCTTTGTCTTGACATGGTTTGTGAGGGTCTTGGTCCGAAGGGTTTGTCATGTCTATCCAGTCGGTCCCGGTAAGCGTTCCTTTTACTATGATGTCCTCTCTGTTTTGGTGGTGGTGAGCGTTTTCTTCCTGATGGTTCCCTTTTCTCTCTCTGGTCAGCCATATCACTGTTTTGTGGACATGATTCCTTTTCGCGAGAGAGAATATGGTATATAGAGCAGTGTTTCTTGAGTTTTTCATAGTGGAGGTTGACAATAGCTTTCATTCCTCCTGGTAGTTCAAGAATTGTTGCTTTTGTTAGCGGTTGTAGGCCATCGATTCTGACTTTTATTTTGGCTGCACCTTTTGTGATGTTGATGTCTTCAACGACTCCCAGTTCTCTTCCAAATTTTCTCAGAAGCTCTCTTCTCCAGTAGTGTAGCGGAATGCCTTTTAGCTCGATCCAAAAAGGGATTTGTGAGGGAAAGTCTGGTGAGATGACAGGCTCCCACCTTTGGAGTATCACCATCCATTCTGAGTAGTGATAGGGACGGTTATCTAAGACTTTCTGTAAGTCATATTCGAAGTCGAAGTGGTATTGGAAGCAACCCTGGCCTAAGTCGGCTCTGAAGGCCTTGCCTCTGAGATCCCATCGTTTGGGGAGGAACGTGATCATTCCCCATAGTTGTTGCTTCCCAGGGTTTGTGAGTCGGCCTATGATGGTAAGCCTGTTTTCCTGCTCCAATTCTGAGGTATCAAGTTCCGCGGCTCTTATTCTTTTGAGAGGAGGGTTGTTGACTGATGTCATTGTTGCTTTTCCTTTCTCAGTGTAGGTTAGTCTGCGGACCAGAGTGAGATTATGAAGATGGTTATGGCTTTAGAGCGAAGAGGGTTTACCAGATTGAAGCTTGTGGTTGATTTGTGGCAAGAGAAGATCTCAAAGACCTCGAGAGGAAGGGGAGGCGGTCTATCGAGTTGGAGGGAAGAGCAGGGATGAAGAGAAGAAAGTCATCTTACCGGTCAGACGGACCCTCCGACGACGTAACTCCGGCCAAAAATACAGCGGTTGAGAAAGGAAGTTTCTATTTTGGGTAAAAAGGAAGGGTTTTTGATTAAGTAAAGTAGAACTAAAAACAGAAAGGGTAAACTTCGGTTTTTGTGCTTGGGAGAGTTTTTCTTCAATATATAGTGAAGATAAATAAAAATTAAAAGAAGAAGAAGAAGTAGAAGTCGAAGACAATGAAAAAAAAATGAAAACAAAAAAGATAAAGATTAAAAAGAAGAAAAACATAAAGCTGATGAAAATACGAAGACTAAGACATTGAAGATGAGAAATAAGAAAATAAAATAAAGATAACAAACTATTTATAAAGAAGAAGATAACAAAAAATATAAAAAAAAAGAAGAAGAAATCAAAGTTGATGAAGAAAGAAGTCAAAGACGATGAAGAAGAAGATGAAAAAAAAAATACAAAGAAGAAGAACACAAAACTGATCACGAGAAATTTTGGAAAATAAAAAGACTAAAATATTGAAGATGAAAAAAATGGAATGAAAGCTGAAAATAATAAATTATGAAAATATAAAAATGGAAGAGGAAATTTTTTTTTTAAAAGACATGTTTGTAATAATAATTATTACTTCATATTTCTTCTATCAGATTTAACATTAACATATATAGCTCCACGTGAAGCGCATGATCAATTCCTAGTACTAATAGTTTCATACTAGTACATGAGCTTATTTTCTTAATTGTCTTTATTTCATTAAAAGGGAAATAACAGAAAAAGTAATACAAATATTTTTAGGCTAAAAGAATGTATAAAAAAACACATCCTTTTTTTTTGGTGAAATGTCTTCGATCTGTCAAAAAGAGATAATAAACATGGAAAACAAATTAAAATTTTTTTTGAAAATATTCAGATTTTCTTAATTTTTTTAACTAATTTTCTTAGATTTTCTTAGATTTTGGTAGAAATTGTATTCTATGTTAATGTAGAATGAATACCATATGTAGAAAAAGTGTTCTACAATAACATAGAACCTCATCTAATATTTAGAAGTTGTATTATACCAATATGTAGAATATAGTCCATCCAATTGAACCTGTAATCTACCGTAATGTAGAATATAGGTAATATATAGAATACATTTTTTACCGATCAGTAGAATATGAAAAAAACTATAGAAAAAGAATTCTACATGCTGGTAGAATATATAAAAAACTATAGAAATGAGATTCTATGTGGATGTAGAATATCGAACATGTATTCTATCATGTGTAGAATACATTTTAAAAATATTTTTAAAATATTGTTTTCCTTAAATGATATACAAAAAATATTTTTATTTTCTTTTTAGGTATTTTCAAAATTCTTAAAAATTAGTTTCAAATTTAATTCTTATTATAACTACCATAACTCATTTAAAATGACAACTATGTCAAAAAATGACCAAAAAATAGAAAACATTAAGGAGACAAATGTTAATTGAATTGACATTATAAAAGCTGTTCTCCCTTCTATTTTATTATGTATATAAAGAAAAAAATTCTAAAAATTCTGTAACGTTTTAAACAGTAAATATTCAAATAAACATGAATAAAAAGATACATGTGGATTCGGAATATGATGTAAATCATGAGGACGTGGTTCATGTAAGCTTGACAACAAAGAGCATGATGAGTTTGTCAATGAGAATCTAGAGAAGTACATATCTTAGAGCATGTACATCAGTGAACCTCTAAGGGAGAGTTCACCAGAATATAATAATTTTTTTTTATTTTAGTTTTTTCTTTTTAATTCGAAAATTATAATTTTCGACCTATCAGGATGCTTCATTTTGGGATGATACTGTCTCTTCAGGTTCGTCGGGATGATACTGTCTCTTCAGTATTAAACTCTTTTGTTTCAAAAACTGTGCCATGAACCCCTCTTGATCCTCTGATGTACATGCTCTTAAACAACTTTCCACAAATGTTTCTGATATAAAATTTTGGAAAATTTATTGATATGAGATTATAAGATTTATTCGTTAAAAATGGTCATAAGATATGATTATTTTAACTAATTTTTGAAACTTGTATTTTTTTTTCGATTATAAACGACGAAAAAATCATTGGTATTATTTATTACTTAATTTTTTAATATGGAGAAGGGCTTCCAATAGATATGGATTGGCCCGGGACACAAGCACAATAATAAATGGAACAGACAACACGACTCCCTCGTGGACATCCAGAAGGATTACAATCAGTGGCTCTAGAACATTAAGCGCCAATAGGAACACCAAGTGCACATGTACACGTGTGGTTTTTACATAATACATGTAAATATCTTCTGCAGCGTTGCGGATTGCAATCCTCATCCTTGTTACATTGATATAGACCTGCACTCTTCATTATCATACCTGTATAGATGTTAAATATAAACCATGATTAAATTCAAGCTAAATCCAATCAAAATTGAACTAAACCAATATATTTTCTTATTTAGTTTATGAGACGACTTAATATTAATATGATAGGGATGACCTAATAGTTTCATACTTACATTAGAACATATTTTCGTATGTTTTTTCAATTAAAAATTTGAAAAAATAACAATCATTTTTGTCATTCTTTTCCTCATTTCTTCAAATCTTAAATTTGTAAAGATACATCAAATTATTATGATTTTACTAAATTGGTGAATTTTTTTTTTAAAATTGCAAATTTCACCGACTTGTTTTTGGTTTTAATTTAAAGATGTATATCAAAGTAATATCTGAAAGAAAATTAAGATCAAAGGAACACGCATCTAACACACACATATATATATCATTCCTTATCATCCAAAGAATGTCTATTTTAATCGACTTAAAAAAAATACTGTAACAAAGTTTTGGAAGACTTACATGAAGAAATTAGGAGAACAAGGACAGAAACAATTGTCACTTTTTTCATTTTGTTTTTCTTCTTCAGTTTTTGTTTCTCCTTTTTTGGATGATCGCAAGTTTGTTTATATAAGTTTTTTCGGTCTACTTTGTACACACTGTATAGATGGAAATAACTTTATTTATATTCTCCATTTGCAAAGTAATATTAAAAACCAGTATTGGTCAAATCAATATATTTGATATCTTAATTAACGGGAATAAGTGGGTAATTTAATTAGCGGTCAAATCAATATATTTCATAATTTGCTTAACAAGAAAAATGGGTGGTTTAACTATTACTCATTTAATGCTCTAAATTATCTTCTTTATTCAGATTATCATGCATCTAGTAATTTATAGCATTAAAATCTTAATAGTTAAACCATCCATTTTTCTCGTTAAGTAAATTACCAAATATATTGACTTGAACAAATTGAGAATTAGACCAGCTCCATCCCTGAGTTATGGAAAGTTCTTACAGCTTGATGGATTAAAAAATAAATGAAAATGGTTTAAATTCCTAAAAACCGCCTCTTAAAAGCCTTAAATTAGAACTGTTTTTTCATAAGACATATGGTTTTTTCTTATTGGTGAGCAAGATTTAAAATAATTTGGGCCAGAATTTTTTGAAGCCCACTTTGTGTCTTCTGGGTTCAGTCTGGTATGGATACAAGGAAATAGGAAAAAAGTCGAAGAAAAAAAAAAGGTGAAAAAAGATGAAAATGGTCGAAGGGAGAAGTCGAGGGTTTCAGAAACATGCAAACGAAATTGATGAAATATGTTTATAATTATTATCAAATAAATATTAACTTTAATTAAATAATTTTGTAAAAATTATTTTTAAATTTTTTAAGAACCTCTAATAAGGTTTAGAGATGGAGATGCAAAAGAATTAGAAGTTATTAACTTTTTATTTGTCACAAATTAATTATTAAAAAAAGATTAAAGACCCTATGTGAGTATTAGGGATGGAGATGCTCTTAGCATATTTTGCCTGACCTAGCATCTGTCCAAACTTTGGCTACTGTCTTCCTTATTTATTAATTTCTTCCCTCATACATGTTTTGCAGTTTATTTTTCTCTCATAAACAAATAAAAAAATAAACCAATGAGTTCACAAACATGTTTCTCAGCCTCACGAAATTAGGATGGATGCTCACATTCATCAAGTCCATAAGCCATTGGGTCTTTATCTTTTCTCAAAACTAGATACAAGAAGAGTCGATGAGACCACAAGCCAATTATAGTTCTATGTATATTAAACAAAAAAATCAGAAAATCCTGTAATGTTTAAAATAGTAGATATTCCAAGAAACGTGAATCAAGAGATACATGTGGATTCGGAAAATGATGTGGATCATGAGGATGTGGTTCATGTAAGCTTGACAACAAAGAGCATGATGAGTTTGTCAATGAAAAGCTAGAGAAGTAGACGTCTTAAATAACTTCCCCCAAATGTTTCTGATCTAAAAAATTGATATTATGAGATTTATTCATTGAAAATGGTCATAAAACATGATTCTTTTAACAAATTTTTGAAACTTTGTATTTTTTTTTGTTTTGCGATGTTATTTTTCTTTTTCTTTTTGGTTTGATTCTAATCGACAAAGTAATAATTGATATTATTTATTACTTTTTAATATGGACTAGGGCTTCTAATAGATATGGATTGGCCCGGAAAACAAGCACAAACATGATGAAGATCACATGTAACACAACTCTCTGGTGGACATCCAGAAGGATTATAATCAGTGACTCTATAACATGGAGCGCCAATAGGAGCACCAGAACCACATGTACACTTGTGGTTTTTACATACTGCATGTGAATATTCTCTGCAACCTCGCGGATCGCAGTCCTCATCTTTGTTACATTGAAATTGTCTGTCTGCACTCTTAATTTCTTACAAAATTATATGCGGGAAGCAAATTATTAATTTATAGATAAATTAATATCACAATAAATTAATAAGATATCATGGTCTCAACATTATTAATTTATAGAGGTTTTACTGTATCTTTATAAGTTTAAGATAGAAATTAGTAGAAGAAAAAAATGATTGTTACTTTTTTTTTCAAATTTTCACCCATTAATTGTAAATATACGAAAATATATTTTCATGTAAGTATGAAACTATTAGGTAGTATTATTATATTCTCATGGACGAAAAACAAATGATATTATTATTTATTCAAAAAGGGACATACAATTTAAAAAAAAAATTCAAAAAAGACATATAATTTTTCTTTTAATATGGAATAGGGCTTGCGATGGATATAGATTGGACCGACAGACAAGTACATGTATGATCATGGTCACAGATAACACGACTTTCTGGAGGACATTCAGAAAGATCACAATCAATGTGTCTATAACATTCACCTCCGCCAATAGGAGAATCATGGACACATATACACCTATGGTTTTTACACTCTCTATGTGAAACTCTGCACATAAAAGGATTACAATCCTCAGTTTTGTTACATGGTCGTACACCTTCGCTCTTCATTATCATACTTGTATGGATGTACATGTAAATCATGATTAAATTCAAATTAAATCAAATCAAATAGAACTAAACCAAATGTTGTCCCATTTTAGTTTATAAGAATATATATAACGACTTAAAAGCCAGTACATCAAAAGTCTAAACCAAATGTCGTCTCATTTTGGAAGTCTTACATGAAGAAATTAGGAGGATAACAATGGAAATGATTGTTACGTTTTTTATTTTGTTTTTCTTTTTCAGTTTTTTTCCTTTTTTTTTGAACAATCGCAAATTTGTTTATATAAGTTTTTTTTCGGTCTCCTTTGTACACAACGAAAATAATTTTATTTCTATTCTACATTCTACATTCTACATTTGTAAGGTGATTATAAAAATGGATACTGGTCAAATCAATATATTTGGTATCTTAATTAACGGGAACAAGTGCCCTTCCGGGTCTCTTCCCGAGTACTTCTATTTATCAAAATATGAGCTTTTTCTTTTGGAAAACAAAAGCGTTAGGCATGACAGATCCTCAAAAAGATGTTTATCCTTGGATCATGTGGTATATATGGAAAGCAAGGAACGATAAGATCTTCAACGGGAAAGAAATTTCTCCGGTAGATACTTTGATCCACGCCCAGGTTAGAAGCAGAAAGCTGAAAGACTGCGAACAAACCGAAAGAAGAAGAGGAAGGAACAGACGAGACTTCGCTCAACCTCTTGATCCGGAATTCTCTACCTAATGCCCAGAGACCCCCGATTTGCCAGGTTGATGCATCCTGGATAAGCAATGACCTGGTCAGTGGGCTCGGGTGGAGTCTGAAGGAGGGGAGGGGCGATGAGACTTTTGGCATTCAGGCCTATCGTAGAAGCCCCTCGGCCCTTCATGCCGAAGTGGAGAACTTTTTATTGGCTATGTCTTGCGCGAATGATAGACATATTTTATTCATAAATTTTCAGACTGATTGCTCAGACCTGATAAGCATGTTTGAATCTCCATCAGATTGGCCATCCTTCCTATCAGAGTTGGAAGCCCTCAGTAGCCTTCGTGAAAGCTTCTTGGATTTCAATCTCTCCCATATCCCCAGAAGTTCTAATGTCCAAACAGATAGTCTTGCAAAAGGAGCTCGAGCAAGAGACATTATCTTCTCCCAAATCATTCATACCGAGCCAGCTGAGGACGATTTTCGGACCAATCCCTTAACGGGCCAAATGTGATATAACAGTTGGGTTGTTGAAAAAAAAAACTAACGGAAACAAGTGGGTAGTTGAATTATTGGTCAAATCAATATATTTGGTATTTACTTAATGGGAAAAATGGGTGGATATTAAGATTTTAATGCTCTTTACAAAGACTATTATTGATTGAAATATCAGTTTACCCAAATACTAGCATATTTTGCCTGACCTTGCATCTGTCCAAGCTTTGGCTGTTGTCTTCTTCATTTCTTCATCTGCTTCCTCATACATATTTTGCAGTTTATTTTTCTCTCTAACCAAAAGCAACCGATGAGAGAATATAAAACATGTTTTTCAGCCTCACGAAATTAGGATGGATCCTCACCTTCATGAAGTCCATAAGCCATTGGGTCTTTCTCTTTCTCAAAACTAGACACAACAAGAGTTGATGAGACCACAAGCCAATTCTATTTTTATGTATATTATGAAAAAATCTGAAATCCTGTAACGTTTAAAATAGTAGATATTCAAAGAAACGTGAATAAGGAGATACATGTGGATTCAAAAAATGATGTAGATGATGTATGTAGATCATGAGGATGTGGTTTATGTATATGAGCTTGACAACTAAGAGCATGATGAGTTTGTCAATGAGAAGCTAGAGAAGGAACTTCTCATAAATGTTTTTTTTTGTTTGATCCTTACCTTCTCACAAATGTTTCTAATCTAAAAGATTGAGAAATTATTGATATGAAATTATGAGATTTATTCGTTGAAAATGGTATAAGACATGATTTAATACTAATTTCAAAATTTTCTATATTTTTTTGGTTTTATGATGTTTTTTTTTTATTCTAATTAACGAAAAAATAATTTGTATTATTTATTGTTTTTAATATGGAGTAGGACTTTCAATGGATATGAATTGGTTCGGGTAACAAGCACAAAAATAAAGGACACAGATAACACGACTATCTGATGGATACCCAGAAAGATTATAATCAGTTGCATAGAGCGCCAATAGGAGCATGTGGTTTTTACATATCGCATGCAGTCTTCATTACCATATCTGTATAAATGTACATATAAACCATAATTAAATTTAAGTTAAATCAAATCAAATTGAACTAAATTTCGAATTTACAGATACTAATCACGATTGAATTCTCTCTTGTTTTTTCTTTTGAACGAAAGTTTTGGATTGCATTCTCTTACTCCCTCGATCATCTACTTTGAACATCTCTCCCCTTGCTTCAAGTTTAATAAATTTTAACATAATTTCTTCTTCAACTGCGATACCTGATATCACATGATTTATATTTCAAAGAAAAACAGAAATATGATTTTCCACATAAAAAGACGATAAGCTTGTATCCTTCAAAAGACAAGTAGGTCGAATCTAAAAGAAGAAAGCTTCTAGGGAGTATCAAACAACTGTCAAGTACCCAAAGGAATAACTACTACGCAAAACAGCGAAGCAAACATACGACTAAAGTCTAAAACTGGTGTTTCAGTTTTGCCAACTTCTTTTACAGATACGATCACTAGAAGATAAAACCACAAGTGGTCCGCCCAAAAAAAACATGACCAGTGAGCTCACTGGTCACAGATGCTTCACAGTCCTTTTAATGGATCAGCTGTTTTGCCTGACCTAGCATCTGTCCAAGCTTTTGCTATTGTCTTCTTCATTTCTTCATCTCCGCCCTCATACATGTTCTGCAGTTTTTTTTTTTTTCACACCAAAATAAAGAAACCATAAGCAGCCGATGAGAGAATATTCACAAAAATGTTCCTCAGCCTCACATAAACTTAGAGGAGAGTTGCTCACCTTCATCAAGTCCATAATTCCAGCCATTGGGTCTTTCTCTTTCTCAAAACTAGGTTTAATCTGAACAAACAAAGAACATTTTAGCATCAGCTTCAGTTTCACCAAACAAGAAAGCTCGGCCATTTATATGGTGTGCTTGAGTTTTTAAGGCTTTTTTACCTTATCTTCTTTGTGGTGTATGTCAACCCAGTTTCCTCTTGAAGACTTGAACATTGTGATAACTATTCTCTTAGGCTTTACAAGCACTTTACACTTCTCGGGGACAATCTCTTTGTGCAACTTGGGAATGGCACATCGATAATTCTTCCCTTGGACATCATGGATTTTGATGTCCAAAGACATTGGCTTGAACTCAGCTTGAACCTTGTCCTGATCAACACCTTCCAAAGATATGTACATCTGTAATTAAAAAAAAAAACAATATCAAGAAGAAAACCTCATTACATAACCAAAGAAAAGCGCCATTTGCGACCACATCCCAATTCCAAAAAGCCTCACTTTGTGACTAAACTGAGTTTTGATTTAAGAAAATTTCTGATTGGTTTACCTTGACTTTTTCATTGTCTTGATCCCAGCTGAATGTTCCGAGAGTTACATAGTTCACTGCCGGAGAAACCGGTTTAACCGAAGAAGAAACCGACGCAGGAGCTGCCACTTCGACCTCTGGCTTGGCACTTGAACCGCTTGCAGACTGTCTCAGCTACAGAGAAGAAAATTTAAACTATCAGAAATCAAAGCAGAGGTTTTATACCTCGATCCAAGAGATATATTAATGATTGCTTCACCGATATTTCACTGTGAAGTGTGAACCATATCCTTTTCTTAATCAGAAATCAAAGTATCATGAACACAACCAACTCATGACACAGATTTAATAGAACTTCACCAACAGAACACAAAAACCTGTTTCACTTTGATTCTTTTTTTCTTTCTTAAAATCCAACCTAAATACGAGTTCCAGAAACTTAGACACACACACATACATAGAGTGAAACGGAAAACTAATCAAATCCAAGTTCTGTTCCAATTCAGGTCTATCGAGAGATTAGGGAAGATACTATTTCTCAATTACATAACCTAACCATCGATTACGGCGAAAGAAATGGGTAAAAGAGGATTTGGTACCTTCTCCAAATTGCAAATCTCGGAATTGATGAGATTGAGAACACGAGGCCTCTTGGCGATGTTCTGGAGTTGCCTGAGTTCTTCCAAATCAAGCACAGCTTCTTCCGCCATGGATGTAATCTTAGAGCAGTCCTTTTCAAGTAGACAAAACGTAGAAACTGAACAGAGAAGGTTGCGAATTTTGTATATATACAGAGACGAAGAGAAGGGAATGAGAGAGTCTTGTGGAAACTGGAATGTACTAGAAGGCTTCGATTTTTTTTTTTTTTTTCTAATTCCAATAACTTTGACATTCTAAGCTTATTGGGTTCTATTGCTAAGCCCATTCAACTATATTGCTTTCTATAGCATAACTAATTCATTTTTCTACAGTATATTTAAAATTATTTACACTAGACTACAAAAAAATTAATAGCATAAATAGTGTCACAATTTGGATTTTTTTTATTAATTATACGTTAGTTTCTTATAATTAGTAAAGGTTCCTTAATTATTTACTCGTCCTAAATTTTTAGTAACATTTTTAAAATCTGAAATAGTTGTGTAATAATATATATATATATATATATTTTACCAAAAAAAAAATATATATATATATATATTCTTTTTATATTTAGATTTCTGGTAGTAATGGAAGAAAATAAAACATAGATATAGTATCATGGTTTAATATAAACTTCATTTTTTTATTTATCTTTTAACCTTTACAATAAATCTAATAAAAAAAAATAAAATTAGACAATCAACAGTTTTCATCTTATCCCTCGAGCCCTAAAAAAGAGAAAAAAAAATTGTCACCATTTTTTTTTTGGATCGGTAAAATAATTGAACCCGACAAAGATGGAGATAAAAAGAAACTTGCCGGACTAGAAAATCAGCACATGTTTCAATTATATTTCGATTATTAGATTTAGCTTTGTTTTCAAGTAGGAGGTTCAGTGTTACACATATATATATATATATATATATATATATATATTCGTGAAATAAAAAACTAACGATTTGATTCTTCCATTATATAAAGTTGGGATAAAGGATACGAGAATTGGTATAATATATGAGCCAACGGTATCCATGTGCCAACATCAACATGGAGTTTGATTGACATCTTTGTATAACTATTATGAGCTTAACTTGTCTCTCTTTCGAATAATTCATTCAATTATGTGTGCGCATTTACGAAAATTCTCGATTTTCTCTCTCGATTTTTGTTTCAAAAAAGAAATATATACCATTATAAAAATGCACTGGTGTGAATCGTGTGATTTATATACTTAGTAGTCACAAGATCTGTATGAATTAAAAATGGGATAAAAAAATTGAGTAATTGAAAACAAGTTATCTTGTAACATATGATCTTGTGTTTCTAACTAGTGGATTTTAATGATTCACGTATGCTTTTAAAACAAACTAAAGTGACCTCTCTCATATTCACATGATGTATCCAATCGCGTAATGATTCTTGACATAATTATTTAACGTTTTAAACATGCATAACTTAAAATTTCATTTGGATAAAATAGGTAATTTGAGTTATATGGTGCAGTCGAATAATTCTAATATAAACCATTAAAACCTATGTAACAAGTAGCAACTCATTGTTTCGATATAAAATTCAGATATACTCAGCAAATGGGTTATCAATGATCACATCCTTTGACAAAAAAAATGATCACATCACGATAATAGAGTGAGTAAAGGTCACTATTAACTTTTAAAACAAAAGAAAAAATACAGTAGTATGATTTGCATATCCGAATGCTGGCGTTGTTTAAGAGTACCAATATATGATTTTGTGGTTACATTACATCAAATTAATTGAAATATTTGTAAAATCAATATGTTAAACGATGGCCTAAGTAAAGAAATAATGCCATACTCGAATACTCATGATTATATTATCAGATAGAATCTTCCATAATTAGCGGAAAAAACCAATATAATAATTCAAAAGCAGTTCTGAGCTTTATATAACATGTATAATATATATTTGTTTTCTTTATTTGCTAAATGGTATTCTATTGAAATAATATTTAATCGTTAACTTTAATGGAACTCTTTAAATAATTTGTTATTGGGAATTCCCAAATGAAAACTCAATGTGGTGAATGAAGTTAAACCGTGATGGAATACACGAACACAGAAAGGTATAGGAAAATCAATAAAGAAATGCATATTTTAATAAAATTTGTTGGCAAAAAAAAAAAAATGAGTCGGGAGAAAAGAAGAATAAAAAATTATAAAAAGAGAGAAAGCTCCTTTGAAAAGGGACGGCCTTGTCAAAATGCTGACGACTTAAAACATGGTCATGGAATAAAGTTGGGACCGTCCATATCTATTTATATGCTTCCTAATAAAATAAGTTTTAGCTTATTTTTCCAACTTCTTCCTTTTCTCCCATTTGAAAAACGAAGCATTCCTCTTTTACCGTGCAATAAAAATATAGGTCAATTAATTGGTGAATGGATGAATATTCCAAATACATGTACACTTTACACATATTAATGTTACGTAGCTTATGTGTAATATGAGTAGTGTCATGTCTGTCAACAAGTACCTAATTCATATAAATGTAAATGTATATACATAATGCATGCATGTGTGTGTAAGAACAGAAAAAGTATCGTATGTTGACGGTGAGATGAAAAAGGAAGGTATCGCATAGTCTAAGGTTGATGGATTCCACGTCCAAAAGATAAAAGATAAAAGATAAAAAATAAAGATGAAAGAGCCTTCACCTTCAGTATAAATGTATAATCAACCAATAGGCCGAAAAGAAAAGAAAAAACAATCAATACTGTATATATATAGAGAGAGAGAGATATGAAAACTAAATGATATCATTATATATATATAATTATATTTTAAGGTAATATTTGAAGTGTGGACAAAAAAAATGGTAATATAAATTTGTAAAGTTTACTAATAAGTTTTAGATCTACTTCTTTACCTTTTTTCCATCAACTAGATTTATTGGATCACATAACAGCAATAATATGTGGGTTTAACTTATTTGCTCTAATTTTCTAAAGTACTAATAATAAGATTTATATCAAGTCGCTACAGCCCCAGCTGATTTGATTTAATATACAAAATCTAGGCGTGTAGTCTTTTGAATTTGGTCAAAATGTTTTATCTGTTGCGAACTTGCTAGAAATTTGCTCACATCCAGAATTAGTCGGACATTTTGGCAAAACTCAAATACCCAAACTAAATTGAAAAATAAAACTCATATTGTAATATACAATATAAAGTTTCTCAAAAAACTATATAATATGAAACTAACCATTTTATACATTAAATTTGCAAGCCATGTGGTTTTATTTGGAGGCCTCAAATGAACCTTTATCCTTTGTTTTTAGACAATGACCCGATTGTTTTTTTTTGTGAACAAAAATAAACCCGATTGTTCACATGATCGTAATTGTGTTAGCATTACGGTTACTAGCCACTTGCAAACTCTACAAATTACATATCTGCGTTTTTTTAGTTTTTATCATCTTGTATAATGTGTTTTAATATATTTTCCCCAAGATTAAGTGATTTATGAGTAACTTGTATCTTCTTTTTCTTTATTGCCACAAATTGTTATCTTCTAGAAAGCACTAAAATTTATTGTCATGATACAATTTCTATACGTCTATTAACAGACCCATAAAAAAATTTTATGTAGACAATAAAAACTAATTAACACGTATATTAAATAAAAACAATACTGTTTTATAATACGAATGGTCAGTTTCTTTTTATACATTGGATACGCTTAGCAGTACTGCATGCCCGCCTGAGGTTAATTAATTAATTACTCGGAACAATTTTTTCCTTCAAAGAATCATCTGAGCACACTGAAAATAATTTAATCCTTCTCGTTGAAAAATGAACCTCATTAGTGGACTCTCTCTATTTACACGTAGAAGCTCTCTCGATTTTGTGTTTTTTGCTTCTAGTACGGTCTTCTAATTATCATATGAATGGCCAGCAAATAAACGCATGTCCAACATATAAACCTTTCCTTTCCTTTCTTTATAGCCTGTTTATATAAAATAACATAAATAAGTAATAATTAAGACCACAGATTTTCAATTAATTAGTGTTAGGACAAAACCAAATGGTGAGGATAATCATAAATATCACATGATTCACATCACATCACTATTAAGTATTAATCATATCGCTCCAAAAAATCGATAACTTTATCGTTTTTAATTAAAAAGATGTTTGTTAAAAAATTCGAACTTTTCAAGTATTAAACGTCACAATTAGAAAAAAAACGTCACAATTATCTTCTTTACAACAACACGTCACTATTTTTTTTCAATAAATGTTTCTCAATCTAAGCTTTTTCTATGATATTTGAAGACCAAATAAAATAAATATATAACTAGAAACAGAGTAATAGTAGAAACAGAGTAAGTAAAGTCAAGTGTCGATACATACCGTGGAGGCAGAGGAAGTGAGTGAAATAACAGAATTAGTTGAAGAAGTAGTTGATTGTGATGATGTTGATGATGTTGATGATGGTGATGATGAGGATAATAAACCTACATTGTAAGCCATAGTCTCATCAGGCTGATACAATCCATAGTTTCTCTCAGAGGTTGGTCCAGGTTTAAGGTCTTCATTAAAGAGAGCAAAAAGATAAACATCAAGCCTCATGTTTGGTCTCAATGGCGTTCCTTCACCTTGAAGTTGTCTCCTTAGAAGATTCTTGTTATAAACTGCCGCGTTGGCCACGGTGGCTCCAACCTCATCTCCGTCACCTTTAGATGGCCAACCGGTCTCCGAGACCCCAACCTCAATATCTTTAAAGCCAAGCCTCGCCATTGCAAAGATCACGGCGTCTACTTGAGCGTAGAGCATGTTGTCGTAGTGGTACTTGGTGTAGGGGTCAACCATTCCAGGGTTAGGGTTGAACAGGACGTAGTCTAATGGGATCTTTGCTGGGGAATCCTTGTAAGCGAAGTAAGGGTAAGCGTTGATCCAAAACGGGGATTTCGTGGAACGCAAGAAACTTAGAAGCTGCGTCATTACGCTGGCGACTTGCGGCCTGAAACATCCGGCGGAGGGAGGGTAAGATTCTTGAAGGACTGATAGCGAATTCGGAGTCGATACTTGAATGTACTTGTCTAAACCGGTTTGAACCAAAGCACCATGAATACTCATCATTGCAGGCACAAGATATCTACAAAAAAATAGCAGTAATAAGGTGAAAACGTTTTCTATTTTAATCGGAGGATCTTAAAACAAATCACATTTTATAGTGGTTAAGGTGAAGGGTATGTCCAAGTTATTATCAATCTTAATAGGACGATAACCACTGGACTACCATGATTCGGTTAATATAGTGTATTTTTTATGCGCCAAGATTTGTAAAGGATGATATTTTTTGATGAATGTGGTGATGTATGTAACAGACCCTATGAGGCTTGAGTCGTCGTCGGTATATAGTTCGTTGCCGACAGCAATACCGCCTATCTTGGTGGCGGGAAAGTAGGGTTTGATACGAGTAGTGACCCATTGGAGTGCTTGTTGAGGGTCGACTAAGCTGGGAAGCATTTCGTTTTCGACGGTGACGAAGAGCTCGATGTTGGAATTGGCGAATGAGGTTAAGACTTGAGGGTTTGTGTCGTAGATTCTTGTCTTGTTGATATGGAGTGAGCTCAAGAGTTGTAGAACTTTGTCCGGTGGAGGAAGATTGTCGCCGACTTGACCGTAGTTTATGCCAAGAGAGGAGACCCTTTGAAACAACATTCCATGTTCTGTGAAAAAAAATGGAATAAAAATTAATAATGACAAATTGAGATAATGGGGTTTCTTGGTTAGACAGAAATAATCAACTAGTAAAGAAAAAGATACCTAAGAATGTTAAGGAAAATAGAAGAAGAACAATAGATCTGTTCATGGCAATTCTGCTAAACATTTTAGACATGGAGGAGAGAGAGAGAGCTATAGACTGAGAGAGTGTTTGTAAGAGAATCAATGCAATCAAATGTGGGGATAGTTATAGAGGAGAACAATTGAGATGGGACCAAGTAGGGGAAGAATAATTATTTAGAGATAAGAATACTTTACTTTGCCTGCTTAATTTATAATTTGTGAGACATAAGGTCTTCTAAAAAAAGTGATTCATTTTATACTATTCAATACATTATTTTTAAGTTTTATAAGTTATTTTAGAATGGGGTAGGTTTGGCAATAGGTTTGTTCTGTGGAAGTCTATTGGAAAAATAGATGGTGTTTGTCAAAAACATTCTTTGTGAGGCAACATGGGTTTCTTAAAAAATATTTGGACCCAAGCAAAAAAAAAATGACATCTTAGATTGTCTCTTTCCAACACATTGCCAACTATGTCAGTCCAAAAATAAAAATAAAATTGAAAAGTGGCCTAAAGAAGACCTTTTTCTTCAGACAAAGGCAAAGGTGGGCAAATCGAATTGCCCACTATAATGGGTTTTTAATCTTAACAACATGTCTTCGGCTTTGGCAATAAAAATTGGAGGATCCCAAATTTGGCAGTTGGGTGAACGAAAGTAATGGAAATAAAAGAGTAGAAATCACACCATCATAATGATAAGAGGGATAGTGCTCTTATCTTCAGTATATATTTAATTTTCTTGTATCTTGTGAAAAAAAATTCTTTCGAAATATTCTATTTTTTTTATATAACTAGGGATATGTGATCAGGATTTTTACCACCCGATTAATCATTTTAGGATGAGTGCAGTTTTCTAGTACTTCACTCACCAGATTTTTATATAAGTTTAAGGGGTTTTTGCTAAAAATAACCCAAAACTTGATTTTGAATACAAAAATAGACTCTTGAAAAAACATTTAGCAGATATAACCTATAAGGGTAGTGAAAAGACCATTTAATCCTGTATGAGTAAACAAAAAACGGATGTTTTAATTACCGTTTTCTCCCTGACGAAGTCTACTAAAGTAAAACTGAAGTCTACTAAGTAATTAAATCTGTAAATTTAATTTAAAAATTTATAAAAAATTATTTTGGTATGAAATTTACCATCATAAATTCCGTAATCGTAACCCAAATGCAAAAAAATTATTTTTTCACATTGGTAAATGGAAATGTATGTTTTTAAATTAAGTAGAAGTAAATTTATTATTTAGGTTTTAAAAGTTGTAGACTTCGATATTGAAGTCTACTAAACCGTAAAAATTAACCTAACGGACATTTAACCGAGATTAAACCGGGAATAACTTCCTTTAACCAAGAGAAACTGCCCTTAACCGGGTAAATTAACCTAGACTCCAGAAAATTAGCAACTTTAACCGGAAAAAACTTACCCAAACCGTACGGAATTACCAGACTATATATACGAATTACAGATCCCGTTAAAAAAAACCGTCGAAAAGTTCGTGTAAAAAAAAAAAACTCGAAGGCGATTTCCGTTTCTCTGCTCCGGCGCCGTCGACATTCAGAACTGCCGCCGATAAACTCGTTCAGGCAAGTTTTCTTTCTCCAACCACACCCCCATGCTTCCCTACTCCTCCGTATTCATCACCGTTCCGTTTTCTAAACCCCCATTTTCCAGATCTGAAATTAGGGTTTTTTTTTTGCAGATTTGCTTTCGCAGTTGGAGGTTAAAGTAATTTCCTGCCTCAAAACGGTTAGTAGATGTTGTTCCGAAGTTATATACTTAGCAATTCTTAAATTTCTTCTATCTTCCTGTAATTTTTGTTCCGTCGGGTTTGAATTAGGTTTTTTTACCAGATCTGGTTGTATTTTCTCGGCGCCAGCTGCATCTAATAAAGGCGGTAACACTCTAAACTTTGTAGATTGACTTCATATACAGTATTTATCATGTATTGATTGCTTCGGTTGGGTTCTGTAGACTTCATACGTAGTATTTATGATGTTTTGATTGCTTCATATACTGTTTTTTTAATGTTAAGATTGCTTCGGTTGGCTTCAGTAGACTTCGCGACTCGGACTGTACTTAGAATGTGAAAGTAGATTTCATTTTGTGAAAGTAGACTTCATTTAGTGAAAGTAGACTTCTTTTTGTGAAAGTAGACTTCTTTTACTGAAAGTAGACTTCACATATTGGGAAAGTAGACTTCATTTTGGGAAAGTAGACTTCATTTTGGGAAAGTAGACTTCATTTTGGGAAAGTAGACTTCATTTTGATAAAGTAGACTTCATTTTGAAAATGTAGACTTCATTCGGGTATAGTTTCAAACCGTTACTAGTTTTTCTCATTAGAGCTTTGTTACCGTTGATGCAGGAATCTTTGTTAGATAATGGCCTCTGAATTCCCCAGAAGACTTTACACCAAAGGGTTTGAGCCAGTCTCGGATAAAAGCATCGGCTATTACGCTGATGATTATAGGCTGGTCCCTGCACTAAAGTCAGCTCTAAAGGAGGATGAATGGGAAGAGATTTACGAGTCACCGTTGGGTGTCTTTTTAAAGTTCCACGAGTTGAATTTTGGTTGGGCTTCTAGGCTGGTGCACCACATGCTGACCTTTCAGATAGTTTGCAAGCAGAGGTACGAGATATGGAGCCTCATTGGTACCACTCCAATTCGGTTTTCATTGCATGAGTTTGAGGAGATCACCGGACTCAACTGCGGGTACGTGGATGACTTGGCTTTAACTGATCTTGCGCTTGAAGATGACATGCGTGCAATTTGGGAGCTAATGGGGGTCGATGCCGAGTCGGGCCCAAGCACTACCGAAATTATCGAAGCCTGTTCCAACTGCTCATCATGGTCTCGTGATGATAGGCTGCGGTTGGGTTATCTTGGGATCTACGCTGGTTTCATAGTGGCAACGAGACCCGGCTCATCCACAAATGTCAACCATGCCAGACTAGTGATGGATCTCGAAGGTTTTAAGGAGTTTCCATGGGGAAGAATTGCTTTTCAGCATTTGATTAATTCTGTTAAGGAGAAAGATCTCAGCAAAAACATTCATATAGAAGGATTTGTGCAAGCTCTTCAAGTGTGGGTGTACTATGCTCTACCGGATTTTGCTGCTGAATTTGGCGAACCATTGCCAAATGTTACTGAAGAACCTCTTTTGCTGGCTTACAAAGGATCTTCAAAGCCAACATGCTAAAACAGGTACTGTATTAGTGTAGTAGACTTCTATGTAGTAATGAGTTTCCAATGTAGATTTCAGAAGTAGACTTCATGTGTAGACTTCTATATGTATAATTAATAGTGTTTGACATTCAGGTGTAGACTTCTGTGTTAGACTTCAGGAGTAGACTTCATTGTTAGACTTCAGGAGTAGACTTCATACGTAGTTTTCCGAGGCTTCATATGGCCCTAAATCCATTTATTAATTGTGTTTTTCCAAGCTCGCATACAGTGCTGCGTGGCTAAGGACTTGGCGGATATGTTTCTCGTGTGGGATGATGACGAACAGGATCCAGATATTGTCAAGATTGTCAATGCAATCCATGACCCCAATTTCAAGTTCTCAAAAAACCATTGGCCTTGGAAGGTGTTTTGGGTGCACACATCGTCAAGTCAGAAGCCGGAAAGAGGAGCCTTCCCTCAGATGAATCAAGTCGCAAGAGATCCCGCACAGCCTCTGCATCTGCCGCATCATTCGTTGGTGATGAAGGGGTCGGAGTTGTCGCTACTATGAAAGCGCACTTCGACCAATGCTTCAAAAGCTTTTCAACCAAGATGCTGAATGGTCTTGGTAGCTGTGAAAAGCAGATCAAACTTCTCACCGAGAAGGTTGAATCTGTAGAGCGTGCGGTAGAAGAGTTGACTACGGGGTCGGCGAAGCACACTGAGGAAGAGCCAACCCAGCAGCAGGGCACTGGATCCAAGAAGCATGAAGGGGTTAGTTCCAAAAACCCTCCGCCTATACGAAAACATTACATGCGAACAAGATCACACAAAGTTAGGAACACTTAATACTAATGTCATTTGAATTCGAACATGTTTACTACTGTTATGTACCATGTGAGATTATTTACTTATGTTTTCAAAATTTGTTGCTTACAATTTTCAGACTATGATAAAACATGTTACTAAATTATAGCATTGGTGTACTCATTTGTATATTCATGCATGTTTCTGACAATAAACTGCAGAGTAATTCAGAGAAAGATGATGCTCCGATGAAAGCTAATGTCAACGTTGGTGCGTGTGAGAGTGTTAACGGCCCCGGGGATGCAAAAGGAAAGAAGGCTGCCGTGAATGAAGAAGAGGCCCCAGAGCCTAGTATTTGTGAAATTGACCCAAAGACGTGTGATGTAGACTTCGACACGGTTGCACTTGCCAAAAATGCCAAAGCCAGTGAAGCGGCTCAGCTAGTTGCCCGAGCAACGAGTGCCCGACACCGCCAGCTGGCTGTGACACAGAAGAGTCCCTTCTTAAGAAACAACACCGCAAAGGCCATCATTCCATCGTCGGCATCTCACTCCGGCCGTGCCCGTGGATATGATCATTTTGATCAAACCGGTGTCAGGGCGAAGCATACCACTCTAATGAATTTTATCAAATCAAACCCGTAAGTAGACTTCTATACGTATGTAAGTAGACTTCCTCATAGTATTATTTCCTTTCTAACTCTTTCACTTGTACAGTGCCTGGCCAAAACGCCCAAAAAACTCTTCGATCGATTGGTATTACATTCTCCGGACACCGACGAAATGGCTAGCTGATACGGTTAGTGTTTTACTTTCTCATAGTAGACTTCGTGGTTAGACTTCTTCCGTAGACTTCTTCCGTAGACGTCTTCCGTAGACTTCTATAATAGACTTCGTTTGCAGACTTCACTCATTTCTTATTTTCTCCAATGTGCAGCACATGGAAGCTTACATCAACCTACTCAAGCTGCGATTATCCAAGCATCCGGAGTGGTTTGTATCTGACCGGATTTGCTTCCTGAACTCCATGTTTGCTACTGTTTGGAGGCGTGACTACGAAGACTTCAAAAAATCCGAGCCGAATGCAGATGGGTCTGGCAAACTTCTGCCGCCTGGAGCATATTCGTACTACACTGGCGAATTACCTATCTTCTGCCAGACTAAGAAGACGTGGGCATATGATGTGGACTCGTTGTACTCCATGTTGAACATTAGGGAGGACCATTGGGTAGCAATATGGGTCTCATTTGTGACCAAGCATATCACGGTTTGGGATAGCCATGCGCGAACCAGACATGCATCTGACGAACAAATTGCTGAAGCTGTGGAGCCTCATGCGGTTATGATACCCTACCTTCTTCAGACCTGTGCACCTGACGATGACAAGTGGAGATTCCCCTACACGCCGTTCACCCATTCGCGAGTACCAGGTACGGAGATACCTCAAAACATTCAGAGTGGTGATTGCGGAGTGTACTGCCTGAAGTACATCGAGTGTCATGCATTGGATTTGCCATTTCCTCTGGAACTCTGCGATAAAAACATGCGAAAAATCAGGGAGAAAATGGCTGCAGAGATCTATGACGAAACAGAATGTAAGGACCATGATAAGCTAGATGCAACCGGGCTGGATGTTTATGATAGGCAAGCTTAGTGTTTCCGTTCTTAAAACTAACTTTGATTTTTATGGCAATTTTTGGGCTACTTGCATAAATGACCTTCAATGTGATTGGAGGTCATTTTAGCAATTGGTAGATGATAGGTGTGGAAGTTTTTTGGCCACCTATCTCATAATTAACTTGCCAAATATGTTGTATTTTCGTTTAGGATATTGTACTTAAACTGAAGTCTTTGATTGAAGTCTACTAAGTTGTAATTGTATCTGTACTGAAGTCTACTAAGTCTATTAACATGTTAGTATTTCTAATTTTCGATTTCACCCTTACAACTGATTAAGTTCTGTAATTTTCGAGTATACCAGAAAGTGTAGACGGAAAAAAATGTACAAGGAAAAAGTTTTATTAAAATAAGAATTATAAGTCTACAAACGAAGTCTACCATAGTCATGTAAACATATAAGTAAACCCAAAAAACATAAAACATGGAGTCAACTAATTTCACTGCGGCCATTCATTTACAAATCCAGGAATTGTTTTCCAGAATAAGGCACATTCCAACTTCCAGAAGCAAGGACTGCAGAGTTTGTCACCATATGAGTCCACGAGGCGTTCATCATCCATCCAGTGCTGGTTTGGCAGATTCATACAAGCACAACTCCTTGATTGTGCCTTATCAAAAACATGGAAGACTGGTTCGTGAAACGCGTCAGGCTTCTTATATGTGGTCGGACACCTGTTTATGTGCTGCATAGTCTTCCGCATCTTCGTTGCCTCTGCCGAAACTATACCACGAATGTGGTTAAATACATCATGGCTACCATCCATGGTTAAAACAAACATAACCATGGAGTAAGTTGCCATGAGACATCCTCCATTTGATGACACCTTTATTAAGTTAAATCCTTCTTGGATGCTATCTTCATAGAAGATTAGAGAAACGGCTCGTAGGTATTGCGTTGTAGAATTTCCACACTCCAAACAGCGCCGAAATAAAGCGTCAACCCTCCCATGTTGATCCCAGACCCATGGAATCGTCAAAGTTATTAGATCAACGGCTCTTAAAAAACCTTTTTCATTAGAAATCTCATTTAGATGTTTGGAGGAGACCCTTGCTCTACAGAGCCCACCGTAGGAACGAGAAGTGATTTTTAAGAGGATATCCCACAGAATGTCGGAAGGGAGAGAGTTAAAGTTTAAGGGGTTCGACATCTTCAAATGGGTCTGGAATGAGCCTATAATTCGTCTAAACCCGAGAATTTATAAGCAGAAATACAGAACACAAACAGGTACAACGGTTATACGCACCGTTAAAGTCGTTAGAACAGTTACATATATGAAGTCGTTTCAAACATAACCGTTGTACCAAAATATCACACACATAGTAGACTTCGAAAGTAGACTTCACCAATAGATGACTTCTTTGAGAACAATAGATGCTTTGTCTTCCTATTCTGGAGCATTCTTGTTATTTTCCTGGTGAATCTTCGACGGCTAAGTATATTAAATAAAAATTGCAACATAGTTATTCGAGTTTAGCTCAACTTACACAATACAGTAGGGTATGACCAGGTTGCTTGCATTGGGAGCAGCTGTATACTTTGTGCAGCTTCCTTGGCTTCTTGCTTTTCCTCCTAGCAATTTCTAGCCATGATTGCCACCGAGACTTCTTCCGTCTGCTTGGTGCACGGCGAATGTCTGGTGGCAGACATATTGAAGTTGGGCCTCCTTGGACCTCTGAAATTTGGGGATATATGTTGGCAGAGTATGCTGCAAACAAGTAGTTTTTTGAGTAAGTCGAACATACAAGAGAATCCACAGATATCCCACCGGCTAAGGCAGCTGTAATAGCATGTGAACATGGGATCTTCTCGATGTAAAACACACCACATTCACACATTCCATGTTCCAAATCAACAATACAATTCCTGGTTCCTCCTTTCACATAGTATCTCCAAGTGTCAATTCGGTCCACCTCCATTGCATCTGCATAATGTCCACGAATCGCCAGCAAATACTCCACTCCCCGAGTATTATGTGTTGTGAGACTCAAAGCATCCTCTCTGCGTTTTAAAAACCACCGACTGAGCTTCTCTCGAATGAAATCCAAGAGGAATGAAATGGGATAGCCACGAGCCTTCTTAAGTGCAGCATTTATAGACTATGCAACATTGCTAGTCTTAATATTGTATCTGTCTCCAACAAAATGAACTCGGGACCAAAGAGAGACATCGGCTTCTTCCAAATAGTCAGCAAGGTCAGGCTTGATCTGTCTCAGCTCCGCCATGTACCGGTTGTAGTCATAGAGGTTGTAAGCATAAGCCACACGTTTAACCAAGTACAACAGCTGCTTCCCCCTAAACTTTGTTACTATGTTATGTTGTAGATGGTAGTAGCAGATCCCTCGTTTTTCCCATGGGAAAATAGTTTCACAAGCTTTCTTAATAGAAATATGTCTGTCAGAAACTATCACCAAAGGATAACCATCTGAGACACATTCACGCAGTTTAGAAAAAAACCATTCCCATGAAGCATCATCTTCACCATCAACAATTCCAAAGGCCAAAGGAAAAATCTGAAAATTTCCATCTTGTGCGGTGGCAACCAACAAAGTACCCTCGTATTTCCCTGTTAGATGACAGCCATCAACCACAATAACTCTTCTCATATACTGAAAACCAGCAATCGATGCTCCAAATGCGAGAAATAGATATTTGAATTTGTTATTCGAATCTACATGAAGAGCTGATACAGTTCCCGGATTGGCTTTGTTCACTGAATGTAGGTAAGCTGGTAGACTCGCATATCCATCTTCAGCTGTTCCTCTGACCAATTGTTGGGCATATATCAAAGATCTGTAAGAGGTAGTGTAATCCATCCTGATGCTAACATATGCTTCATTGAAACCCTGACATGTTCTGGTGTAAGTCCATCAATTATGCCGAAATAGCTTATAAAAAGCTGGCCAATATACTTAGGAGTAGACTTCCCACGGTGAGCCATTCGATGGGCTATTGAACATGTGTGGTCTTTCACATATTTTGTCACCCAAAAAGTGGATGCCTCATTCTTCACGCTCGCTCTAACCATCTATGCACATCCTTCCACTCGACATTTAGCCACAAACAGGTTCTTGGTAGACTTCTGTGTTTTAAAAGCAAATTTTAACATTATGGCAGTCAGTCTAACCTCTGATAACAGCTTCTCTTTTGTAGGGAAACTTGCCCCAACATATATATTATCAGACCATGACATGGGTGTGCTCCCTGTTTCACCATATCGGGTTCTGACCTTTTCAATACAGACTTCATCTTCATCATCATCTTCATCTTTCACTTTTCCGTAGACACTGTAATCTTCTCCGTCAGAGTAAGCTGCATCGTCGACATCTTCTCCATCGTCGTTCACATCAGAACTGTCTGCCTCATCATCGGTTGAATGTTCTGAATTTTCCTCAACATCTTCACCAAACTCTTCATCTGATCGTTCCTGGTTCTCCTCAGTATCCATCTCCACTCGACAGGACACACAAAGGCGTAACAAATGTACTCTGCTTAACGCAATCAAGCTTGAAACTTGTCTATCATTGGTGACATGCATTGGAGGTGTATCTGGAGCCATATTTTGCAACATTGAGACTGGTAGTGCGTAGGTTAACTCGATGATCCCAGTCTTCTTGCCCAAGTTATAATCATCTCGCGCCATTTCAGTAAGCTGCCCAAAGGTGCAACCATCGTTCAAAAACCACATTCTTCCACCTTTGCCCATGTCAACAACAAAATGCCATGAATTCTCCTTAAACTTCCACTCACCGTACACAACTGGAATTTGAGCCATTCTCTGAAAAAATAACCATATAAACCGTATTAGCAAACACTGCATAGAGACTTTTTGTATCAAAGTAGACTTCACGACGAAGTCTACTTTGATAAGCTTAGTACCTTAAAAATCGAAACTTCTGATTCAACAATAAATATTCAATGAAACTGAATAAAAATCACTAGGTAGTTCAATCACTAACTAAGAAACAATTATAAACAAAAACAATTGAAAAATAATTTATAAATTTGCTTAAAACGCGTTTTTACAAAAACGTCAAAACGTAGACTTCTATTGCAGACTTAGAATGTAGACTTCACGACGAAGTCTACTTTGATAAGCTAAGTACCTTAAAAATCAAAACTTCTGATTCAGCAATAAATATCCAATGAAATGAGATAAAATTCACTGGGTAGTTCAATCACTTACTAAGAAACAATTCTGAACCAAAAAATTTGAAAAATAGTTTATACATTTGCTTAAAACGCATTTTTAAAAAACCATAGTAAAATAGACTTCTACATTAGACTTCAAATGTAGACTGGAGGAGAAGTCTACTTTTTCATTGAGAAATCTACAAATGAAGTCTACTAAAAAAAAGGTCATTTTTGCAATTGACCATTCTGTTGATTTTTCTTTCAGTAGACTTCAGGAGTAGACTTCAGGCAAAAAAGGTTACTTTAGCAATTGACCAATGCATTGACTAACATAGTAGACTTCTATTGTAGACTTCATGTAAGAGTAGACTTCTCTGACAGTCTACTTTTGAAGTCTACTTTTTAATTAGAAGTCTATGGAACAAAATAGGTTATTTTTGCAATTGAATTTTTTTAGTAGACTTCACAATGAAGTCTACTCAAAAAAATATTCCTTCTAAGTTTGACCGAACACAATAAGTAGACTTCACAGAGAAGTCTACAGTTTGTAGACTTCTTTGTGAAGTCTACTGAAGCTTTTTGGAATTTTTTAAATTTTTTAATTTTTGAAAAACAGAAGTCAAACACAAAAATGACCTATACGTTTTTGGTCAAACTACAAAAGTAACTTGAAAGTAGACTTCGTATGCAAACGAAACCAGTAGACTTCATAATGAAGTCTAAATCCAAAAGTCAAAATACGGTCAACTAAAAAAATAACCTTTTTTTTTCGTAGACTTCTTAAGCCTTCAAATGAAGTCTACTATGCTTTTTTTTTGTTTTCAAAGGATATCGAGTAGATTTCTCGTGAGGTTTAATGAAGTCTACTTTTTAAAAGTCAATTGCAAAAATAACCTTATGTTGACTCATAGACTTCAGTAGTTCACGAGAAGTCTACTTTCGCGATATAAAAACTGAAATGTGGAGAAATTGAAGTGTGAGGATTACCTTTAACAAAATTGAGCTCCCCTAAGTTTCTCTTATCCACCCAGAACTTAGAATTTCACCGAAATTAAACAACCCAGGTGTCGAGTAAACCAGAATTCACCGAAAAAGCATGGCGCGAAGCATTGTAACTTTGCCCCGATGTTTTGGAGAAGAAATTATGATAGAATGAGCAAGGTTATGAGTGAATGAGCTTAGATATTTGTTTTATTACAGTTTTAAAACTGGTTGATAAGCATTTATTCCATTTTCATGGTTGTTCATGGTGGTTGAAGCTATTGAAGACGATGGCATTCTCGTAATTAAAAAGTCTTTAGAGGGTCTAAGAAGACTTTAGCCAATTAAAGAAAAATCGAATTATTAGATGTATAATGGCATTTTCGTTAATAGTTTAAATGGGAAGAATAAAATTGTGAGAAAATGACAAAAGTTGGAGAGAGAAAAAAAGAGGTTAATTTTGTGTTTAACTTTGAAATATGGGTTAAATCTGAAACTCTCCCTAAATTTAAAGCATTACATCATTTCGACTGGCCAAAATAAAAATATTAAATAATTCTATGTTTGCGGAAAATTGATTTTAGGTCTAAATCATCGGAGCAACTCTTTCACAATTAAGTGAGAACCACTAACCCATTATCACTTGTTTTTATTATATTGTTACAATTGTATTTTGCATTAACTTTTATTTCAAAGATACATTTGGCTCAGTATTATCCTCATAAAAATTATTATTTTATTATTTTTACGAAGTCATAAACTTAATAGTTGATACATTCTATCTAAGGTTAGCCTGGATTTAAATTAACGTATATTAACATATGCATACGGTTTTTTTTAGTTCTATTTTTTTTTTCTCAGGTTTACTCAATTTCATCTCCTCTCGTCGATGCTTCCCTCCTCTATTTCTTCTCTTTGTGACTGCCTCAGCTTAGTTATGGTCGAGCCTTTCTCTGGTCCCTGTTCGTGAAAAAAAGGACCGACGGAAGCTTCATTTACTTCGCTGTTGTTTTTTTTGCTGTCTTGCCATTTTTTTTCCTCTCCGCATTCGCGTCTCTACAGTCTTGTATCTAGAATCTGATAACTGGTCTTAAATTCCTAATAGTTTCTCAACTCGGGCGATTCTGAAACTTTTTCGAAAGAGTTTCAAGGTATCTTCGAAGAAATTTTTATCCTATATTTTTCATGATCTTTCCTTTATTTATGTATCGAGTGAGAATAATCTAGAAGTAGACTCTTTAGCAAAGAGTTCCATGCGTTCTGATGTTGTAAGCCTAATTTAGTCATCAATGTAAGATCTATATGGAAAAAACCGCCAATTTCTAAAATTACAGCCTAATTGGTCTGATCAATAATTTGGTTGACTGAAATAATGCAATCTATTTTTCGGTTTGATATTAAAACACTGAAAATAACGTATTACTTCAGCTATATATGCATCAGATCAGGTGATGATTGTATCCAACTTCAGCTTGCTCAGATAATTACAGGTTAAAAAATAACATTTTCACGATATTTTTGGAAGTTTGGGCTGTTGCTTTTCTTATGGGACGGCTTAATATGTAGAATTTTGTTTAATTTATGAAAATTTTAAATCTATATTAAATGGATTAGAGATGTACTATAAAGTAGCTTTATGGAATGATGCAACAAAGTGACCCAATTTTTATCTTTACGTAACCATCCCAAGAATCTAGTAACTTTTGGAAGATGAATTTCACAAACCTTACTTGTTTATTTGTTACACCTTACATATATAAACAAAAATATACATTAATTTTCTTTATATACCAATATGAATATGCATGTTTACTTGTTTTGGAATAGGACAAATAAGCTGATGCAAGTGGTGCGCTTTATGACATATTAGATTCCACCGATCTGGTTTTAACAACAACCTTTCTTTTCCTTAATCTTAGCACGAGAGATTTATGTTTCTAATTAATGAAATAAAGGTTCTAAAATAAAAGTAACATAGGTCGTTAATAAACTTGTAGCTAATCAAATATTCATAAATGAATTTAGCAATTTTTTGGTTAGTTTTGAATCACGATGCTTACACTTTATTTTCTATGTACAAAATAAAGTTTCGTTAATGAGTTTGTTACAATTAACCATTATCTATAGTTATATCCGAGGAGAGTTACGGGACTTACGACTAATCCAATTCATAATTTCTAAGGCATGACTAATTGAACCATTTCTAACGCATGACTAATTACACGTGTATTATGTGAACTATCTGCTTTTTAATTTGAACAAGATATATCTGGATCCTTATCATATATTTTCGGTTTTCTCGCCTGCATGTGTTCTTTCGGTTTGTTATTGACATGGAAAAAAAGACCCATGTAACAAATTTTGAACATATATAGTAACTTTTCTAGTCTCTTACATTGATTTATATCTGTAAATTAAGAAAAAAAAATTCAAATTCTCTTACAAAATTGATACACAGGGTTTTCTTAACTTTGACCCCCCCCCCCCCAAAAAAAAACGTTTAACTACCATTATCTTCCATACTTTATCCAATAGTTTGGTGAGAAAGAAAATATGAAGCAAAGATGGACATTACTATTTTGCTGGACAAAAATAAAGAACATTGCTATTTATGAGGGATAGATGTGATGGATGACTAATGAATTAGTGAGCTTGGTGGTTATGACTTATGACAATTATAAAATCAACCTAACGGAAAATTCATGGTAAAGAAAGAGCAGGCAAAAAATAAAGGATTGGTCCTTCCAAAAGAAAGCAAATAGAGGGCACATGCTTGATTAGTCAACAAAATAATTGATAATTATGTCACTAACAATCCACTAATTCAACCTTTCGAGTTAAGTAATATGGTTAGGAATCAATCTCTGGCGGCCCTTTTTCCATTTATCTGATTTTTTTTTTTTTTTTGAGAAAAGGCTTTCCATTTATCTGATCTTTCATATGAAAACTATAACATTTCGTCTCTCATATGCCGAAATTTATAAAAGGTTTATGTTATTTGATTTAATCGAGACAGCTAAAACATGCATATATACGCAGTGTTTAAACCTGATAAAAATGCATCTACATCTACTATGTATATTGGCCATAATACATACAAGATGTATCGTAGAAATAAATATCTTTTTATTTTCTACATCGAAGTATCATTCTTAAATTAGAAAATGTAGATCACATAAGTCTAACAAAAAAGAAAACTTGTTGGATTTACAACTGTGCAGTCATATAAACATGCTCGATCTTCAAGTTTTTTTTAAAGAACATTCATTAATTACATGAAAAAATAATATAGGGATACGATTTTGTAGTCATATAATATAGTTTAAAAGGATGTTTAAGGGACAGAGGCTAAAAAAATACAATAAAGTATAATCTAAAGAGAGAAGACTCATAAATTGATAGATCATGGCCATCTCGGCCACCACGTTATGCTTTATTGCATTTCTTGAACTTGTTTTGTAAACTTGATTGATTTTCATCCTCCTGATTTTAGAGAGGAGCCATCCATCTTAAAACATGTATATAAACTCCCAAGATTAAGGTAGTTGCTACCAAAAAAATTTCATGGCACAATTTTATCCAAAGAACCGGAGTATTGAGGAGGAGTTGAGAAATTGCCAAACCAGAACAAAGATCAAATGATGATGTAGTTCTTGTGCTGATGGGAGAAATGCTGCTTAGTGATTGAAGAAATTAATGAAATGGAAAGTGTATTGGAGTGTAACAGTTAGTGAAAGTGTATTAGAGTGTACCAATTAATGAAATGAAACAACGGCAATATTGATGATTGTAACTTGTAAGAAATTACTAAGAATTTTCTCGGCAAAGCCGGAAAAAATGTTGCCGTTCTTTTTCCAAAATCTGTGTGATAGAAAGTCATGCAATTACTTATACATGCATGTCAGCATATGTATTCTGATTGGTAAAAGAGACTTTCAAAAACGAAATCTTGAAAAAAGTAAAGAAGATAGCTTTAATGTTTAAAACAAGAAAAGTTACACTATGTATAGAGAGAAATCAAGAACATCATAAATATCAACACATTAAAACATTATATCTAGAATAGTGTTTTTCCAAAAAAAAAGATTAGTAAGAAACTAAGAAGATAAATATAAATAATAAGCCAAAAAAGGGAAGAAAAGAGAAGAAAGCATATGCTTGTGTATCTTCCATTGCTTTAGTTCCAGCATTGAATCTACAAAATGTAAAGAGAGAAGAACAATGTGGTCAATCCATTATTTTCTATCTTTTGCATGTTCGAATTAAGTTTGCATGTTGATAAAGATCACAACCATTACAACTTGAAGGATATACTTGTGAGTTGTGATCATACATCTAACTATGTTCTACTACGTATGTACTTTTAGTCCCCCAATAGAATATTTTTATTTTAAAAAAAAAACGAGAGACACAATTGCTGCAGAAAATAATAGTTTTTGCATACTCGAAAGAAATATGTGTATCCATTATTTATATAGAAGCTGAAACAATCATGTGTACTGTATATATACTAGATATATGTAACTGATATGCACAATATTAAATTTCATTTAAATTGTTTTAGGTAACCTCAAATGAATTATACGAATATAAAATAGATATAGCTGAATATTATTAATTTTTGGTGCGAAAGACTTATATGTAAATCTAAGGTAGAGGCTATACACAATTTGAACATTCGATTAAACGTAAATAAATGCTAGATATGTGGTTTACATATGTGTATATTGTGTAATTAACTTAGTGATGAAGATCACAACTGGGAACATACTTTAATGAAAGTACAGAACAATAGCAAAAAGGAGATACAAAGATAAGGAAAATTTGTAAATATAAAAATTGAAATGTCTAAATACAATAGATGAAAGGCTTAGTTGGGGAGGGAGAAGATGGAGGATAGCATGTGCATGTGTGTGTAGTGTTTTCGTAAAGACGTGTTTCTTTTTCATTTGGCTCTTTTTAATCTTATTTGCTTCTTTTACAACTTGAAATTTAGACAAGAAGGTTATATAATTTGGTTATATTCCATTGTGACATACATTTGAATTATATACCTTACGAAGTACGTACATTTTTTTAAGAAAATAATTGGCATGCGGTAATGTTAAGTTATTGGTTCTGTTGATCCGAGTTTTAGACCTTATACAAATTATAATTTGCATTCGCTCAAGTATATTTGAACTATATAGGTCGTGTCGGCTGGTTGTACTATTCAACCAACATTGTTTTATATGTATTGTTTATATGCAGTCATAGATGAATTCTCTACATAGAAAATTTATATAAAGCTATTGTTTTTTTTAATAATATATTCATCGATAATTTCAATTTGTGTTAGCGACTTTCCCATATCATAAAATATAAGCATATGTTAATGTGTTGTGATCGAGGCTATGAGATGATAAGATAAGCTAATGAGAGGAATGAAAAGCAAGAATGCTTATTGGTTTGATTAGAAGCTCGATAAGGTTGGATTTCATATGAGAGGAAAAAAAGTTTCTTCCACATTCGGCGCTTTATCATTATTTTATGTTTCTTTTAGGCTGTTATCCATTTCGAAAACAGTACTGGTCCAAGTTGATCACACAATATTGTAAGAAATCAAGTTGGTATATCTAGAGTCATGATCTTACCTTTGTAATACACCAAAATGTGAATACACTTATAATAATTGGAAGTAATTGCCGAACTAGAATGCCATTGGTCGTGGTGAGTTAAGTAGATGCAAAATTGGAAGAAGAGGAGCACATTACTATTCTAGAAATCGCCTCTTGTTTTCTTAAAAAGCCAATGAAGAACATGAACTAATTGGTTCACATTGACTGATAAATAGAATTTTATATGTTACATTTTACTATCTTAAATATATCATTAGCGAATAAAAGGAACAATGGCTTTGACATCGATCAAAAATCAGAATCATTACTTTTCAATCACAAGTTAGTAGTACAGTCGAGATTTTTATGACAATGACATGTAGGTTAAGAGTTTGTGTGAGTGTTGTTATTGTTTCACCACCCGGATTCAAACCCGTATAATGGATGTTGTTGAAAAAAAGAGAGTCAACTTCTATTCTTTCTTAGTTCTTTTCTATGAAATCTTGGCTCGATCATCTTTAAGTGATATAGTAAATTATTTTATGATGTGATGGTGGCCTTATGGTAAAATTTTAAGGAACATAGTGCAATTCTTTTCTTTTTAAGTTCGATTTTTACTAAGAACACATTCGCTTCCATTTAACCAATAAAAAAACAGTAATAGTGTTATGTAAAACTACTCGACGGGTCCGTAACTTCTTGATTAACAAAAATACATTAAAGAAATAATCTACAAAAATACTCGACTTTTGGATTATTATTCTTTTTTACATTTCCCTTTTCAACATCTATTCTACCTTCCACTTTTTATTAATACTTAGAGACAAATTAGATATTTGCATATCAAGTTTTACATTGAAACCTTAAAACAATTCTTGAGTTGGAACTAAAAGAAAAGAGTTTAAAACATTTATTTTGTTCTTGGCCAAAAAAACATTTATTTTGTAACGGAAGCATTATTTAACACACGTGAATACAAACTATACTGTAAACACACATGATACATGAATATGATACAAGAATATAAACTAAGGAACCTGGTGTCTAATAAAGTTCTTTACTTATTCATACAATATGGTTCACAAACAATTGTGGAATCCAAACTAAACAGATTGATCAAATCTTCCTTTAAGCAAACAAAACAAGCGACGGAGTTAAATCTCCATAACGCTCCGGCGACTCAACCACCTCCCACCTCACACCAAACTTACTCTATTACAACAACTCTAGGAATTGAATTTCATATTGATCTTTCTTATTTATATGAATAATATGGTCATCTCTTGCTATTCTGCGGAGATATTTCTTTTGGTCGAATCTTTTTAAATATATGCGAGTATATCTGGAATTCCAATACAAATAAGAAGATGCAACCAATCATGAATATGATGACTGTGATGATTATTGTCTATTGCTTGGTAGGTATAGGCCGTTGGTAGTTATTCCGGTGAATTCCTCACCACCACAGGATTCTCTTAATTATTTATGTTAAACAAAACACAGATATCTACATATATATATATTTTTTGAACATTCAAAACACATATATTGATTTTGAATACTATTTTCTCCGAAAATTACAACATTTCATATACTCGATCAGTCAATCATACAGAATTTAGTAATTTACCAATAATCAAATCCCAAAAAAAAAAACAGAAATGGTCACGAAAAGATATGCATAAAGATTGTTCCATGTGCCTATCGGCATTTTCTTGAATAAATACACGTATATGTCGGATTCTTGAATATTTATTTAAATGATTTTGCCTCGTTAAAGTAGTAGTGAATATAAACATAAGATCTTTCTAACATATGCTTGTATATATAAGAGTGTTGAAACCGAGAAGCTTATTCAATTCAAATCGGAAAAATATATAATCAAATCGGATTTGAATACGTAGTTTTATTTTCTATGAAAAGAAAAAAAGAAATTAGATTAATTAAAGAAAAAAAAAATTAAAGATGAAAATCATAATGATTGACTTAGCAGTAGGATTTTTGCATGAAACAAAACTAAAATCATCTCTTTCTTTCCTTTTGGGCGTATGGTTGAGTTGCACTAAGCTTGGGAGATAAGAAGAAGGGCACACAAGTGCGGGTTGATACACTGGCGGGATATATCCCAAACGATCAGGATAACAACCGACATTGAGAGCTTCTCCGAGTCTAACAGATTTGAAGTAGCCCTTGTCTCCGAAGATGAAAGCCGTGTGGTAACGGGCAGTCTCGGTGGTGGGTTCGTTTTCGTCTACATCGAAAACAACAGCGACTTTCTCTTGCTCGTCAATGAAGAAGCTCCCATTTTCACAGTAAAACATAAGTGTACCAACAACACCAGGGAGTTGTCTCATATCCACGCTCAAAAACTTGCTCCAAGACACAGCGTTGGGCTCAATCCTAGTCGTAACCCAAATCTCCAATATGTCAAATCTATCCTCGTCCTTCTGATTTAGCACCGCGAGCTGTTCATCTCTAACACACGAGAGTGTCACAGTCTCTTCGTTATAAGAGTGAAAAGGGAGAGGCAGACGCTGACCAAATCTCTCTGTTGTAAAGTCAAAACATAGCAAGAAATCTTGAAAATCTTCAGTGATGTCTTGAAAATGTTCAGTGTCTTGTACAAGAGTTCCTTGTGGCAGTGGAGCGAAAAAGTCGACACCTATTTTCTCATGAGCGAAAAAATAAATATTTCCCTTCAAAGACACGCCTCGTTGATGAGAATCTACCTCCCAGTCGGGTCTGACGTCAATAACCCTCCATGAATTAGAGCCAAGGTCGTAGATTTCGAACCCGAAAAGGTGTTTTCGCTCTTTGTAATGGTAATAATCCAAAAACCTCAAGACTTTGTGGTTACGGTTGTGCATGTCGTATCCAAGAGCATACCTGTCTAGTCTGTGGAAACTTGTTCTCGGTCTGATCCACCTTGTTTGTCCCAGAGAAGGGTTCCACACCACAAGCCTCGAGTTGTCCTTGGCCACGCATAACAATAAGCCGTCGCAGTGAAAGACTTTGGATCAGGGCCGTGCCCATGTAGTAAGTTTTGAAACATTGGCCTAGAGCCAAATTTTTTTTTAACATCTTGAAAAGCTTATTTATTTTTACCAAAAATATAAAATATTATAATTTGAAAGGTATATATATACTTTTAAAGCTTAAAAATAGATATTTTCATATTACAGCATAGTTTTTAAATTTTTTCATATAAAAAATAGTTAAAAACAAAATTAAAATATCAAAACAAAACTAAAATATTAAAAAAAAATAGTATAAGATGTTAAATCTCTAACTGTGGTATTTGTATATTTTTCTCTCTTAATTCATTTTGTGTTTTTGGAAATTTGTTTAGGGTCTCAATTAATGTGGACACGGCTCTGCTTTGGATATCTCGACTTGGTCAAGTAATGCTACCTGCTTTATAGATAGATCAACCAAGTCTTCTTCTTCTTCCTCCTTGCGGCGGAGATGGAATCTCACTGAACAAACCTCGGAATCCATCGTCATGAACCCCAAATACTGCTGTCTTGCTGCTGCTTCTTTACCTACAATCCAGTCTTTGGATAAAGCTTCCCATGATTTGCAAGTGGATCGCACTTCTCTCAGAGATGTTATCGGAACCTTGCTCAGTATCTTCTCCCCTACCAGTTTCGGTGGAAGATCGCTTATCCTCTTCGTCATTCTTCCAAAATTTAGTCAGACGCCGCCAAGCAATAGAAATAACTAGGGCTTTCTCTCTAATACAACAATATATATATATAGACGAAAACCCAAAATTTGGAAATAGTTTGATTGTAGGAAAATAAACAAAAAAGTTTGATTTTCTTTAAGGAAAAATTTCCATATATTAATATATATGAACTTAGTTTCTATTACAATTTTAGGACATAGACTTTTGGTGTGCCCTAAACAATACACGAAATATAGTATATTTTTTTCCAGTTTACAATGTACACGTTAGGTTAGTAGTCGAACCGGTGGGTGGCACTTTTTGAACAAATTCAAAAAGTTTGATTTTAAAAGATGTTTATATAATGCTATTTTTGACATTGGATTCGAATAAATGCCTGTTCCATTGTAAACTCGCTAAGATCTCTCTGTATCTCTACTACAAGATTTTGACTTGTGGGTCTCCTCCTTAGATGCAAAGCTTATCTTACAGTTCTCTAAGTGAGTCACTACTTCCAAGAAATCTAAACCCAGAAATCTTGGCTTTTAGACACTGTGAAAGCTCAAGAATCAGGTCCTAAAAATAAAAAATAAAAAAAGAAACAAAGAATCTCACTGTGTGACGAAACAGAGAAGCTTCGAGATTCAAAGAACTTGGATCCGAGCATAGAAGCTCTTTGAGAAGAGGCAGTGGAAGCTACAGAAATGGCGGGATTTACTATGAGCTTGAACCTGCTGCTACTAGTAGCGAACGAGATGGAACTCGCCGCTGAATCTCTACTATGAGAAAACCGGTACGTTATACAGTTACTCTCTGTATTTGTTTTTGATTTTTATGTATATACCAAATGATAAAGTTTTCAAGCTTTTTTACATGTTTTGTTTCATACTGTAATGTTTTGCTAAAAGGAGTTAAATTTGCTAAACATGGAAAATTCTCTGATCTACTACGGTACTTTTCACCGGTAAATATGATCTACAAATGATAACATGGACTAAAAGAAAGCGCAAATTCTGCTACTTGTTTATTATGCAATTGAAAGGGACACAAGCAATTAAAAAGAGGGCTAGAAACATTGGAAAAAAAAAACGAAATCTTTTAATTGTTTGGCTAATAAGAGACAAAGTTGAGTAGAATGCAAGAAACAAATAAAGGTCAATTTAATAATCTCTTCCTTTCCTCTTGCGCGTATGGTTGAGTTGCACAAAACTTGGTAGATAAGAAGAAGAAAACTAGACAAGGCTGAGTTCTGAAAAAAATCTCTGATCTTTACCCAAAGACTACTTACTTCTACCTTTTACGTTTTACCGATCGATAATCAGAGCTGATGATCTACAAACGAAGACATGGACCAGGAGAATGTCATACTTTGCTTGCAGATGGTGCAATTCTCAAATTGTTTATCATGCAATTGAAAGGGACAATAGAAACTTTAAAAAAAAAAAAAAATCAATGGAATGGAAACATGAAAAAGCCTAAATCATTAATTTTTGGGTTAATTAATTAAGAAACATAAATTAATAGTTGATTAGAACGCAAGAAACAAATAAAGGTATCTCTCTCTAATCAATCTCTTTCTTTGCTTTTGCACGTTTGGTTGATTTGGATTAAGCTTAGAATATAAGAAGGGCACACAAATGGGGGGCAATACTGTCTATCTCCCACGCAGTAAGGTTCTCCACGGACATTGGGGGCTTCTCGGAGACCCACAGATTTGAAGTTGCCATCTTGGTAATATTGGTGCCTATGTATCTGTCTAAATCGAAAACCACAGCGAGTTTCTCTTCCTCATCAATGAAGAAGCTCCCAGCATCGAGGTCAAACCAAACTTTACCAACATCAGGGACTTGTCTCATATCCACTCTTACAAACTTGCTCCAGGACACGGCCTGATGTTTCCCTTCACAGATTCTTCACGCTGATGATACTGTATTTCCCAGTCGGGAGTGTCACGGACGTCAAGAACCCTCCATGAACCATAGCTCAAGTCGTAGATTTCATACCCAAAACCGTCTGAGTTTAGATCAAAATACCTCAAGATTTATAACTAGGGCTTTCTCTCTAATACAATATATATACATATATAGACGAAACCCCAAAATTTGGAAAGAGTTTGATTGTAGGAAAATTTTCATATTTAATATACACTTCCTTGAAAAACACTTCTTTTGTAACGGAAGTATTACATTTAACACTTGTGAACACGAATTATACACACATGATACATGAATATATGATACAAGAATATAAACTAAGGAACCAATGTGTTTCTTCTAATACAGTTCTTTACTTATTCATACAATATGTTTCACAAACAATTATGGAATCCAAACCAAACAGATCAATCAAACCTTCCTTCAAGCAAACAGAACCAGAGAATGCGACGGAGTTAAATCTCCATAACGCTCCGGCGACTCAACCACCTCCCACCTCACACCAAACTTACTCTCCGACCTCCAAATATTCCCAACCGCGAGGTGAAGATTCCGACCAACCACATACACTCTGTTCCCATAACAGTTAACCGCAAACGGTCTACAAATCTCCTCAGGCAATTCCGGTCCACAAATCGTCTCCCAAGAATCCGTAACCGAATCATAAACCTTCATCTTCATCCTCTCCAACTCCGACACAATAAACAACCGATCGTAAACCACAACACTCGTACCGGTCCATCCTTCTCTCAGCCCCATCGCCATTGTTTCCCACTGATCAATCCTCGGGTCATAAACTTGACCTCTCGGTGACACAAAAAACGGCCATAACCATCCTTCCGTAACCAAAAGCTTCCCGTTCAAAACCGCTGCATCGTAAGACGCCATGCGAGTCACCATGCTCGAAACACTCTGCCACTTCCCGTCCAAAGGGTTTAAAACCTCTGCAGAATCGAGCTCGAATAAATCAGCAGAGTTTCCTCCGGCTGCGTATACCATCCCGTCTATCACGCCGGTTCCGAAAAACGATCTCTTTGTTATCATTTTGCTCGTGACGGTCCAGTGATTCTTCACCATATCGTACTTCAAGACCAGATCAAGAGGGCAATCAGAATCAGAAACCATCCCGCCGCATACGAACATTGTACCTTCACGAGGCAAAGAAACCGATCTGAATCCGTGTGGACAGACTTTGTCTCTACAAGGCATCGATGGGATTTCGTGCCAAGTGAGGTTTCTCAAGTCCAAAACTTTCCATTGGATTTTCCCTGTGCATCTGCTAAACCCGACTACGAACAGCCACGGTTCTTTAAACCCGAGCTCCTTGCGCCTTGCGAAAAACGTTTCTTTGGTACCGAACAAGAAATGCCATCTCTTGCACACTGATCTCGTCGATACGTGGCTTTGGATTGGAACACGTAAGAGGCAGTTCAGGGCAACATCGTCTGGTAAACCGGGAATCAAAGGTTCTCCTCTGAGGGACAGTTCTGATTCCGATGAACTATCAAACGATGGTGATTGAATCGATGCGGCTACTCTAAATTTGGGAGATAATGTCATCTGAGAATCACCAAGCTTGTGCACAGCTGCTCTTTGGGATGAAACTTTAACCCTCTGCATCTTCTTCTTCTATCTTTTGGACACTCAATTTCCAGAAATAAACACTGAGTAAGCACTCATTTTACTTTTATTCCAGATTCGAATGATCAGTAATAAATAGTTAAAACAATGGAAAGTTCAAAGTTTTCAACTTTGTCTATGTTCAACCTGAAAATGGAGAAAAAGGAAAATAGAAACCTCGAGAATCAGCATCATCACGAACATTAAGACTCATCAAATTCGAGAAAAGTTCCAGATTCTGTAGCTATCGATTGAAATGAAATCCAAATTCGAAATTCATTGAAACAAACCCTAGAAGAAAAGGGGCTAAAATATCCAGAGGAAGAAGCGAAATCGGAGAAGAAACAGAGAAGCAAGACTAGATGGAATAAGTGATCGAAGCTAAAAATTCAAAGATAACAAAGATCAGATATTTCTATATCCTTACAGAACAAGACGGCGATAGTTGCTGTTGTTTGCTTCGTCGCGAATCCTTCAGCTCTTCCCTTCTTTTTTTTTCTTTTTTCGCTCTTTGTGTTTTTGTGTGTCTGTGGTAAAATGGTGGTAGTCAAGAAGACGTAATAGTTTGGGAAAAAATATACTATATGCCTTTTCAATTGATAATACAGATTACATAGTGCAAGACAATATTATAAATTTTGTGTGTATCAAATGTACAGTATCTGTTTAAACTGCCGCAAATCTTTCGTGTAGAATCTGTAGATGACCCTGATTATGAAAAAAAAAAAAGTCTAAAAAATAAATATATCGGCCTAGAAAATGTCTCAGTTTCAGTTGAAAAGCGGACAATTCGAGGCAACGGGCTGAATAATGGGCCTTGAAATGTTATTGGCCTATACAACAAATGGGTCTTGCTACATTTACTGATACAAGTATATAGTTTCTAACACCAAGAAAGATAGATTGAGAATTATTTCTGAACATCAAAAACAATATGATATGGAGTACTATAGATCAAAAAAACGATAGAGTAGAAAAAAGTGAAGAGAGTAATACTGTGACCCCATTATTTATCTAATTATTCTTTTTTGTAATTAGTTGATGGATGTTTTATTTTTGTTTTCTAACTTTGTGTTGAACGAGTGAAACTTTTTTTTTTTGTCTGAGTGGGGAAATCTGAGCTAGATACAACATATGACGATGTCTAACATATGTTTCTTTCTATTTTAAACAAAGGATACAGCTGGAATTCGGATTTTGATAGGGAATACGAATTTACGAAAGTGTATCTACCAATGCAATATAATATGTAAAAGAAGTGAATTTGCATATATGCATGTATCTATTACAATCTCTAGGAAATGAATTTCATAATCTATGAATTTTGTGATCTTTCTGTTTTTTTTTATATGAATAATATGGTCATCTTGCTACACTGCGGAGATATTTCTTTTGGTCGAATCTTCTTCGGTACATGCAAATCTATATGGAATTCCAATTTTTCGAAGAAAAATAAAAAAGAAGATGCAACCAATCAATATGATGATTGTGATTATTGTCTATTGCTTGGTAGGTATAGGCCGTTGGTAGTTTCTCCGGTGAGTTCCTCACCACCATAGGATTCTCTCAATTATTTATGTTAGACAAAAAACATATATATATATATATATATATATTGATTTTGAATACTATTTTCTCCGAAACATTATAACATTTCATATCATCGATCAGTCAATCATACAGAATTTAGTAATTTACAAATAATCATATCCCAAAAAATCAGAAATGGTCACGAAAAAGATATCCATAAAGATCGTTCCATGTGCCAATAGTATCCAGTATCGGAATTTTCCTGAATAAATGCATGTACATATGTCGGACTCTTAAATAATTTTTTTAATGATTTTGCCTCTTTAAAGTAGTAGTAGTAGATATAAACATAAGATCTTTCAAATGAGAAGTTGTAATGATAAGTTGGTGAGATTTAATTTATTGTACCAACTTAGTCTTTATAGCCGTATGTGTCATGTGGCTAACCGAATTATCCCCTTTTTTGTTGTGTTTTGGTGCTCACCATGTGCTAATATTTGGCCATCAATCTAACGTATGTTTGTATATACATATAAGAGTGTTGAAACCGACAAGCTTATTCGATTCAAATCGGAAAAAGATATAATCAAATCGGATTTGAATACTTTTTGTTTTTATTTTCTATTAAAAAAAGGAAATTAAAGCTGAAAAAAAAAATCTAAGCATAATCTACTTTTTTTAGATCCAGTAAAATGTTTAACATGTCAAATATATATATTCTTATAAGAATTAGGTTTTAAGAAGAAATCGTTACAAATAACGAAGACATGTACATAGTATAAAGCAAAATGGCGGGGATCTAGACCAATAGAAGTGTATCAGATGACAACAAAATAAACTTTTAGATTCGCTTTTATGTAGCAGAATTCGAACCATTTCACTATGATTTCAATTATCATTGGTCACTCGATGCTTTCAGTAGTGACAAGAAAAGCCGAATTTCTATAATTTTCGAATGTTTGGTTGGGATTTCAGCCTAAATTTCTCTAACTAGCAAACAACAAGAAAAACTCTTAAATTTGAATTTCGGAGTAAAAGCTTTATACGTTGTTGCTACAAAAATTGTCAATTATATCATGTGTCGTAAAATGTTTACATTTATATAGATTTTGTATGTAAAATTGTATAACATATAAAAATATTTTTTACCGTAAAACATATGCTATCACAATACATCCGCTACGATAACTAGTTGTGTATTGTAGAGATACACCGTAATGTAATAAGTAAGATTTGATCATCAATGCCGTGGAGGATTATAGACAATGGTGAACCTAACGAACTAAGTCTAAAAGACATCCAATATTAACAAAACAAAACTAAAGACAAACAGAAAAAAAAAACAACCGGAGACAAAAAAAAAAACCATGTCATCAGGCACTGAGGAAAGAATGGAAAGATGCCTTCAACATCAACTTTAGAGAAACGTCGTACATTTTGTCTTCAAATGATGAAGCCACTTGTTGGATTGTCACAATTCACACCAATGAGATTTGCTTTTACTTCGATAGCCAATTCGGCCAATGAGATCTCTCGTTTTCTTACGAGTTGTCAGCCATATCCTTTTCCTTCTTTCTTGGTTTTCTTTCAAGTCAATATGTATTTTCATACTATGGTTATGTAACTATGTACAGTCACTAAGCCCTAAAAATAAATAGAGACTATAGAAAAGGCATGACTGCATGAGTACTTTCCGTTATTTCTAACGGCAAAAAGGTATTTTATTCCAATGGACTAGATCATTAATTGTAGATAAACAATTCAGATCTTACGAGTACTGTCTAAAACTATCATTATCGGGGTCTTTTAAGAGGGTATCTTAATTTTTTTAGAATTAAAATAATATAAATTAATACTCTATCATTAAAATCGTTTTTTATTTGGGTATTTTTAGATACGTCTCTAAAATCCAGGTGTCAATAATTAAGTGGATAAAATTGAGAACACAATTTTCTCTTTCTCTCTCTCTTTCTACCATTAAACCCTATAAAATTAAAGGTTTCTTATCACAGTTTTTTAATCTAATTTAATATTAAAAATTATCAAAGAAACCATAAAGTTATCACCGATAATGATGCTCTAACGAATTTACATTAAACAGTGCAAACAGTTTGAAAAAAAATGCAAAGAGTAAACGTATTACTTTTTCAAAGTAATTGAATCTTATCTAATGGTTGAATTCTCAGATACTAAAACTAATAACAAAAAGTATTAAAATAAAGAGTTGAACGCAAATGCAAAAAAATTGAAAGTCTTATTGGGAGAAAACAAAACAACAAGAGTTATTTAACGAGAAAAATGTAAGACAATAGTAAAATGGTAAGCAAACGATTAAAGATAAAAGGTAGAATCATTTTTGGTACCACTAATCTTTCACAACTTTTGTCATTGATATCTGTCAAAACATTATGTCTAATGGTTTTACCAACAATATCATGTGTCAAACACTCGATATAATTGGATACGGAGGATCAAACATTTGATCTAATTACGAAAAAACAATATAGAGCACAAGTCATTAAGGAATACACGATAACATCAATATATATACAGAGTAAAAAGAAAAAGAAAAGGAAGATAATAAATATTTTTCATATAGAAACAACTGAGTGAAACCAACTTTTCAAAGTGCTTTCAAGGCCACCTAAATTGGAGTGATCAGCCATTGGCAGTGTCCACTACTAAAGAAAAATTTAAAGCCTCTCTGATCAATGATTTGATCTGTCAATTTGTTTACTCATCAAGAGGACACTTGCAGATATCTATTGTATTTATATATGTATTATCAATTATTTTCTAATAGCTTCAATCGGTGTAGAATGGAGAAACTTTCAATTATTTCCATTGTTATCATTCTTTCAAACTTTTCTATAAATTTTATTTCTATGTGATGATATGAAACAAAGCTTTTAAAGTTAGTTGTATATTTTAGTGAATATAAGTACATCTTAAATCATATATATAGGTCTAGCCATATAGCTACAGGCAAGTTGAACAACACTAAGATTTACAGTTAGCCAAGTTGAACAACACTAAAATTTGCGGTTAGCCAATTTGAACAACACTAAAATTTACGGTTATATTTTATTTTGCTAAAGAGCGATCGAAATTATTAAAGAACAAAACATTGAACCAGATTAGACTTAACCAGACATTTACTGAACCAGATACATTCTAATCAGAAAACAAAGAGCTTCAAGAGAGAGGGTTAGGAAAGCATCAATTTGACATCAAACTTACAGTTATAATAATCCAACAAATTATCCACTTATCATCGCTATAAAATGTATGATTTAATATTTATTTTTTTGATAAAATAAATTAAGATAATATTGAATCGATGTACAACTTAAAAAGATCTCTTCGATTGAATAAATATATAGATATGTAAGAAATCCTTTTAAGATTATAAACCGAACAGAACGATTGTAATTATTTTAGCACCTACTATAAAAATTATATAGTTCGACTTATGCGTTTGTAGTATGTATTTTGGTAATACGTAGTGAACTAAGACCCGTTTTAAAATAATAAATTATCTTTAAGAATATTGGCTATACAAGAATCCAAGGGTTATGAATATGTACATATGTAGCAAGTGGATATCGTACACAAGTTTTCCTACTTTTACCAAATTTGAATAAAGTTAGGTTTTGATCCAAAACTAAGTAGTCACGAGACTTTTATTCAAGTACATATTACCTCTTGCCAACCCAAAAATTGACCCTACACATGAACCTCAAGTCTAGTGTAATGTGCTGCGACGACAGCTTTCTATACATCTACTTGCACCAGTACACATGCATGTCTACATATATTTGTATGCATATACATATGTTTGTAACAACGTCCATATAATTGCATAGTTCGCTCTTATGTCAGTTCATGATCAGATCGTGTAGCTTAGACACACCATGTCTGCATCTGTGTGATAAGATAGGATCATGATTCACAAAGTGACTGACTCATGTGGACATGATTGGCTCCTCCATGCCTATATGTATATCTGTGATCTTGTATATACACTAATTGTGCTCCCGTTTACCGTTTACGCTTACATGC